ATATCCTATCTTCATTGTCTGTATTATGTCGGGTTAACATATCATTATGTTGGGTTGGCATGGCATTATGTTGGAATGACATGTCGTTATGTTGGGTTGACTTGTCATGACGTTCGATTGACACGCCATTATATTGAGTGAACATGTTGTTATATTGGGTTGACATATCATTATGTTGTGTTAACATGTCATTATGTTGGGTGGACATGTCGTTATGTTGGGTTGACATGTCATGACGTTCGATTGACACGCCATTATATTGAGTGAACATGTTGTTATATTGGGTTGACATATCATGATGTTGTGTTGACATGTCATTATGTTGGGTAAACATGTCGTTATGTTGGGTGGACATGTCGTTATGATGGGTTGACATGTCGTTATGTTGGGTGGACATGTCGTTATGATGGGTTGACATGTCATAATGTAGGGTGGACATGTCGTTGTGTTGGGTTGAGACAATTTCCTTGACCTGATCCATATGCATTACAGTGTGACGTTTCGATGNAACAAACCTGTGCTACGTCGCAAGATCACTCACTTCGAACGCTATCAGTTTCACGCGTCTCGCATCCACGGTTCCTCAGTTTCTGACGACATGTCAAATAACGAGTCTGTTACAGAATCTACCGACTATTGTCAGGTTCCCGTACAATCAACAAATAAATTCACGCCTGGATTCTTCACAACATGAGCAAAGAGAATAGTTCGAATTAACTTCCAAAAATAACTCATTGAGGGCAAGGTCGGATTTACGGTGTTCACTGTATTTGTCCATGCGCGAAATTTGTTCCGGGGAAAAATCGAAACAATTTCAAATCTAACTTTCAGCTCAGAGTTCTATTGACAAAATTAAATCACCCTATATAAATATCATACGCAATTGTATTGATACTGCATTGTTGAATAAAATTGGAGTATTTGTTAAAATTTCAAAGTACTACTTTGTTTGCCAATCAGCACGCGACAATACGCTGTTCAAACTATTGAACGAAATTGTGTGGACCTTCGATAAGGCGGCGTTTTTTTAATTTTAAATATAAATTATAATTATAAGTTAAAAAAGAACATAAGAGGCAGAGAAAACGTAAATATAAGTATTGAATTGTTTTTGTATGGTATTTATTATCTATTTGAATGACAATAGATCATAAATACCATACAAAAACAGTTCAATGCTTAAATATACATCAATGCTGAAATGGATTGTTTATCATACCGAGTTGTAAAAGACCTTGTATCGGTAATTTGACGTTTATCATAAAATGCCCTCAGATATCCACATTTTGAAATATAACGGTACGACCACCCAACAGAAGATTATAGTGATTAAATGCTGTGTACAGTAAACTGTAAAAATAACAGTTAATGAAAAGCGTACAATACATAGAATTATTTGCGTATTATATATAGGATCTTACATGAGTGTCCATTTCATATGAGATTTATAAAAAGAGTCTAATAATTTTATTAAAATGAAAAATTGGTGACGAGTTTCATAAATTTCATATGAAATGAAAACGAGTGTAAGATCCTTTTTATCACATATTCAATATTTATGGCATTTATTCGTGTAAAACGACAATTTTCATGCAACTTTGAAATGTAAAAATCCGCCATTTTGACTCCGGTGCGTAAGTCTGTGACGTCATGTACTTGTCCTAGACGTGACGTCACATTTGAAACAATTGAAACTTACAACCAATCAAAGGGCTGATATGTCATATTACACGCAAAATATATGACATGTCAATAGCCACACCAGTGTCTCTACCTTCACACATCCCTTAGGTCAGTAGTCACACCAGTGTCTCTACCTTCACACATCCCTTGGGTCAGTGGTCACACCAGTGTCTCTCCCTTCATACATCACTTAGGTCAGTAGTCACACCAGTGTCTCTACCTTCATACATCCCTTAGGTCAGTAGCCACACTAGTGTCTCTCTCTCTTCACACATCCCTTAAGTCAGTGGTCACACCAGTGTCTCTACCTTCACACATCCCTTGGGTCAGTGGTCACACCAGTGTCTATCCCTTCATACATCACTTAGGTGAGTAGTCAGTAGTATATTTACTGGATAACACAGTACATTATGTGATAAAAAAATCTATATTCAATCACCTGTGTTTTATAAATTGCATATTTTTTTTTATTTTTTTTTTAAATATATAATTAATTGTATATTTTAAAAAAAAATTCATTGAAAAGTGTATATTGAAATATATGTGTATTATAAACAGTTTGTTTAATGATTTGTTTATAATACATTGTGCATTGAATTATTTTTTATTGGTATATATAAATCTATTTTTAATTATTCATGTATTATACAATGTATATGCATAATGATTTGTGTATTATAAACGATAAATATTGATATATGTATCATGAACTGTATATATGAATAATAGTGTATTAAAGATACATTTAATTGTTGGTTTCTTGAAAACTGCATGTTCAATGAATCATATCATAAATTATATTATGCATTTGATGATTTTGTTTGCTTCATATTTTCGTTTATATATGTATATATGCTGATTCTTATCTTTGAACATTTCTCATTTGTCGGATATCTGCACGTGATCAATTCTCAAAAACTCATATACATTGTAGAATAGTATTTTTATGACTATTGGTGTTTAAGAAATGCCGTTAGAGGATTCCCCTACAATTTTACAGCTAATAAACGATAAGAAATTTTGAATTTATTTTTGGTTAACAGTAAAGCATTGCAAAAATTATAAAGAATTTTCGATGTGTTTTTGTTTTCATTTATTCTCTATTACTTATTTCTCTGCAGAGAGCGTTAGAGAGCGTAACCCGTGGAATATCGAGGATGATAGTGTTACAGTTTTGGACTTAAGTGATGGTAAATGTGACTGGATATTAACCTAAATAAGTAATATTAACCTTGGCTTCTCATCGGTTAATGTCAACTTTTCAGGTTCATATCCCATAATGTTAATCATCACTGAATTTCATAGCAGCAGCAAACTGTTGTCTGTCTTTCAAACATCCGCACCACCTCTTTACATACCACTATGTTCCTCATCTCTCTAAAGATGTCCAACTTGATGGCGGGGAGCGTCACTGTAAGCATAGTCGTTTAGATAACTACAGACACATGTCAATTCGGACAAACTATGGTGACTGAGGAGTATGGAACGCCATGAATATCCTATCTTCATTGTCTGTATTATGTCGGGTTAACATATCATTATGTTGGGTTGGCATGGCATTATGTTGGAATGACATGTCGTTATGTTGGGTTGACTTGTCATGACGTTCGATTGACACGCCATTATATTGAGTGAACATGTTGTTATATTGGGTTGACATATCATTATGTTGTGTTAACATGTCATTATGTTGGGTGGACATGTCGTTATGTTGGGTTGACATGTCATGACGTTCGATTGACACGCCATTATATTGAGTGAACATGTTGTTATATTGGGTTGACATATCATGATGTTGTGTTGACATGTCATTATGTTGGGTAAACATGTCGTTATGTTGGGTGGACATGTCGTTATGATGGGTTGACATGTCGTTATGTTGGGTGGACATGTCGTTATGATGGGTTGACATGTCATAATGTAGGGTGGACATGTCGTTGTGTTGGGTTGAGACAATTTCCTTGACCTGATCCATATGCATTACAGTGTGACGTTTCGATGACTAGTACGATATGTACACTATCACCTACATCAGAGGATGACCAGTGAAGCGTATACACACAAAGGTGTAAAATGTGTACGAGCTGTCAATAAAATCTATGTAGCTGAATTGAGTCATTTCGGTACATATATAACAACTATTTTACATACGTTTCCAGCGGCGAAATCGACGTCGATTTTAAGGACAACTCGTACACATTTTACACCTTTGTGTGCATGAACGCCATTCGGAATACCATTTCGACATTTTCTACGAAACTAGAAGCATAGGCGAGGAGTTCCGAATGCATGTACGCATCACTGGTCATTTGTCTGAAGGTGACAGTGTTTATATAATAGTCATCGAAACGTCACATAGAAAATTGTATTGGTTGTGTAAAAAGAACTTCTCATAATCCATACTTACTAACCAGAAGAAAATGTTTAGAAATAAAGAGGAATAATTCCATGCTTTCTGGAAGAGTAAGCGTCTTCTTCTTCGTCGATTACACCCGTTGTAAAGCTCCCAGTAATGCCCTATCCTGTAATCGAGAACTGGGGTATACGTAGTGACAGACGATACCACAAATGAGCATATTCACAATCAACCACCTTCATATCACACAATTAATGTAATAGAATATTTTCCAATAGGTTTATGATGGCGACAAGAAAATTTCTGCATAGTTTTTATCAACCTGCTTTTATCCAAAACCTTTTGTTGTAGTTATGTCGACACACATCTTGAAAAAGTTGTGATGATAAGAGCCAGACCTTTAAAGCTGGGCCCGTATTCATGAAACCGTTCTCATGCTCAAGCATGAATTTTGTGCTATGCATCGTCCTTTTTTAATAGAGGTGTATACCAATCAATCAAAAACACACACTTCCAAACATCCATTCCTTTAAAGAAAATCTGAAAAGCCTATCGTATTCCTATATACGAAAAAGATATATAAGATATATGTAGTAACTTTGTAATAATGTAGATTAGGGTGTGTGAGGGTGTGTGTGACATGTAGGCATGTGGGTATGCAAGTATGTATAAGCTAGAGTAAATGTTTACATATTTAATTATTATACATTACCCGAAGTAATCATTCTACTCTAAATATTGCGTAATACTACCATCAATACTTTCATGCTAAAATCTATTTCTCTTTATATATATACGTTACTATTTATGATATCTATTATTTACTTTATTCACTTTGACTTGTATATATGTGGTACCTATTGGAGAGGACTTATATAGGCTTGCCTGATGTCCAATCCATTTGTAACGCGGGACGAGCGTCGGTAGAGATAATTAGAAATGAACAAAACAAACTAGTAAGTTACACAAATACAAACAATTTATTTACAATTAACACAAGCACATTTCACTAAACATTTCAATCATCTCTCCAGCATCCACTCATTCACATACCTACATTTACATATTTTCACACATTGATTTCCATACAAAAGTTCACAGTTCCAAATAAGCCGGCTAATTGCATGGTACCAGTCAATGTTCCTTGTTTCAATAATATGACAGTTCCTGTGCTGTCTGCTCCTGTCTACTGTATGACACAATGGACCAATAGTCCTATCCTGGGTGACAACAGTCTCCGTATGTTTGACACCGCTGACCAAATGTAGCCTTTACTGACGGTTGAAATATAGGATGCGCGCTATGCGCTTCTCTCGAACCCTAGTGTCCACTAAGAGTTCCCTATCTGTACAGCTCTGGCTGACCCATTCAGTGACCATGACTTGTCCGCTGTGGATGACCTGTGGCTGACCTTGACCCTTTGCATGGGACGGTCCTGATGCCCCGTTCGCATGTATCCACTGCAATGTCCAGATGTGGTCGTAATCCTCCTCAGGAAAGCTTAAACAATACCCAAAACAGCCATTACAATCTTGCATACTTCACCATTCAAGCAATTGATTCCTCACAAAATATCAACATGACAATTATATAATGACACAATCATATTCGACAATCTTAACACTGACGTGAGACTCTATGATATCTAGTAATGTAAACAGTTAAGTGATATACTATAATAACTATTATAACAATTAAACCTAATTCCGGTCCGGCGATACATAGTACCAAGTACACAGTCGAGTATGGCACCACGCGGCTTCCATACTTTTTACACTCTATCGAGACCTCACCTATACATAACGGTTTATCACTATTCCAATACATATCATCAACATTACAACACTATTACATTCGTACATAACTATGCATCGAGATATACATACTTATAAACCCATAAAGTATCTCTAAAAACATATTCATACAATTTAGCCTACATGCACGTGCTGTACTGTGGTAATCGCTCACTACCCAAGCGTCACGCATGACCGGACCGCACTATCCTATACGGCTCAATAGACGTTAACCGGACAATATTAGGACATAAAGATGGAAAAATAGAGTTACATAAAGCTTAATACTAATATTACTTACCACAGTCTGTAACCTGTGCCTGTAACTACTGAGGTAGGCCGCTGTGAGTACTAAAACCCACGACAGGTGGCTATGGCGCGTCCACACATGTTTACCTGTGTCCTGAGCTCGTGCACTTCCGCTCCCTACCTATTTACTTACCGTAACATCCGTCAACTGACCACGTGATTCGTAATAACAATAACACTGGACATTCACAAATATATATATCTACATACGATCAACATAAACACCACGAGACAATGCATGCGATCGTGACAACTTTCATGCTAAAATCTATTTCTCTTTATATATATACATTACTATCTATGATATCTATTATTTACTTTATTCACTTTGACTTGTATATATGTGGTACCTATTGGAGAGGACTTATATAGGCTTGCCTGTTGTCCAATCCATTTGTTTTCTAAACAACACAATTTGTTGAAATGAAAAAGACAAAACCAAAAATTAAAACCTTTTTCGTGTTGCTTTGAAAAAGACCTTCCTGGCCTTTATTCATAATCAGCGTGGGTCACAGTCCAACACGATCTCATTGTCACACTTGCGGGAGTAATACCCCATGTGGATACTAATATAAACAATAAAGAAATATCTTTGATGTTCCTATTCCTGGTAATAGGGTGATATGTCTGGTCCTCCTTCATATGACGTCGGCTAGTCCACAGCTGTCTTCCATTAAACGACTTGTCCATGGTCTTCCATTAGAAGACTTGATTGACCATGGTCTTCCATTAGACGACTTGTCCATGGTCTTCCACTAGACGACTTGTCCATGGTCTTCCATTAGACGACTTATCCATGGTCTTCCATTAGACGACTTGTCCATGGTCTTCCATTAGACGACTTGTCCATGGTCTTCCATTAGACGACTTGTCCATGGTCTTCCATTAGAAGACTTGTCCATGGTCTTCCATTAAACGACTTGTCCATGATCTTCCATTAGAAGACTTGACCATGGTCTTCCATTAGACGACTTGTCCATGGTCTTCCATTAGACGACTTGTCCATGGTCTTCCATTAGACGACTTGTCCATGGTCCAAATAAGTGATAAACACGACGTTGACGGTGGTGACAAAACCTATGCCTTTAATAACACCAATATAAATGGTCAAAAAGCAGAAACCGAAAAACAAGAGAAACCCGAAGTGTTAATCGGTATTCGAACGTGGTCGTATCCTGCCTTAGTCGATAACACTAATAAGGCAACATACGACCAAAGTAAATATTTGATGAAAACTCTTGGGAAAAAGCACTAGAGTAGATTTTTTCTTCCGAAAGAAAACACATCTGCTGCATCGATTTCATCTTCCCTGTAACTCTAGGTAAAATCCAAGTAATTACACATCCTCTAAACGGGATTCGAAGGTAGTGACAACAGGCCACACTTATGAACCAGGCCACACTTATGAGCCGTTGATTTTCATGTCACACATTGAAAGGAAATATTTTCAGATGACGTCCTGATGGCAACTTAAATTCTTGTCCATTTTCCTCATCAGCCTGCATCTCTCGAATCCCTGTGTATTATGTGTGTCTGTCAGTAGTCGACATCTGCAATATATCTCTATAATATATATTTGAATCAAGCTATCGAATCAACTGCAACATGTAAACACAGAACAAGGGGACATTGATGTTACTATTAAGAAAGGGAAATTTTCACGATGGTAGTTTTGGAGTACGCCGTCTCTGTTGGTCATGCTGTTAGTATAGATAGAAGAAATCAGCTATGTATAGCAGTCTGTAGCGTCCTTGATCTCAAGTTCAGCAGGGCAAAGACGAAAGATGCGGTCAATACATGTCTTATTATTTAAAGTAAACACATTGTCTACGTATCTACAACACAGAGTTTCTAAAGATACAGGTTAATGAAAACTATAGACAAATATTATGGTCAACATTATCTCCTCTTGGGGGAATATGTTATTACTTTGTGTGATATGAAGGTCAAGTTTTTGGTCAGCCCATTGGTGAACCTGGTGGTGTTGTTACTACTAGAGTTCGCCATGCGAGTATGTGACAAGACTTGGATTTGACCAAGATTTAAATGTCGAGTGTCGTCGATGAAGCAAAAGCTTACCCTTCCCGAACACCTGGTCTTATTATCTTTGTACTTTTTCAGAGGTCTCCATGTTAATATTTCCTTTGTTCACATTTTGCCCTAGTTTTATCGATTTTGAGTTCAAATTATGGTTTTGTTGACACTTCTCTTCTTTGATTTTTTCCGGTGAAGCCGAAGGACTTTTTATTAAAGATTGTGATAAGTTCTTCAATATATATTCAGCTTCATGTAAAAACAAAAGTGGCAGTTGGTTCCGATAAGAATTGTACAGCCTCCTGGACAACATCTTAACTAAGGCCTCATTCAATTTTAAATCCCATCCGAAGTACATGTACATTTCATTTTGGTCTGTGTCGCGTTTTACACAAAATATGTTCCAAAATAGCTTATAGCCATGAGTATCGCTGTCAACTTTTCTTGGGAAACAAAACTTGCTTAATAAGAAAACGAAGCCGTTCTTTCAGTTTGGTATAAAGCGTAGGTAAAGAGAAACCCCGAAATCTGAACATGTTAAGGAGAGGACGCTCAAGAATGATCAAAAGTTTGAAACCTCATTCTATTCATTTTACTCTGTCACAATATTGTATGAGTGAACCTCTAGATAGTAATACTAATGGGATTAAGCAACTGGCAAAGACAGCGAAAACTATTGTTCGGAATTCTTGTGAAGTTAAGAGATTAACTACAAACGAGGCATATCCGTATCCATATCGTGAATCAGTATGGAAAATAGTTCAATGTAGAAATATGATGAGTGTTATTTCCGCATTCGAAAAATGAGAAATGTGTAGGCATTGATTCTGAGGTTTTAAAGAAAGCATTGCTATAAATGTATGATGCATTGATTGCTGATAAAACTAATTACTTATGAAGATCGTTGAGTACTGCTTTAACAGCGGGGTCGAGGAATACAAACAATATTTTGTTTTCGTTTTTGATTCCAAACTGCTACACTTCTCTTTTTGAATGACGGACCCAATAGATATAACCCACTCTGAAAGTGAAAGTGGTGTTGTCTTCTACAGAATCCATCAGTTTACTAAAATTTACATTCTATATAATATATTACATTTTGTTACCCATAATATGTTATACATAATTATACAGGTGCTGATATAAGAGAAATTTACATCTTTAAATTACTGTTTGCAATGCTGTTGTATTTACATGTATTTAGCAGTGATTAATACCTGGGACGTCAACTTTAGGGATTGCAATCAGATTACAATATTACGACATGATTAGAATCTATGTGCACTACCTATGAGCGACAATACTTGGTAAATGTGTTCAAAGAACGATAACTCGTACGACAGACTTACTGTTTCAAGTTATATTGTAACGGTCGTTAAACTACATTACCAGTATAGGAACTTTCGTCTGCCCTTGTTAAAAACAATTCGTTGCATAGGTAATCAGAAAGGATGTTCCTGACATCGTGACATTATTAAAAGGCAAGTAACGACATTTTGTAAATTATATATCGGTACGAACACCAACAAACTCATGTTGGTTGCCTAGGTTGTTCAAAGGTGTTACACAGGATGTCTAGGCATCGCCATGGACGTCATGGTCGCCGTTAATGTTTGAACATGTACAACACAGTCGGACAAAGGTCGCCGAGGAGGTTGATTACTCAAATGAGGCAGGAGGGAGGCACAAGCTTGTCGTGGTTGCAGGATGGATGCACAATGGTCGCTACGTAATAGATGCGTCCTGTGCAAATTTCACCGTCAATTTGGCTAATGCTTCTACCTTCCTTGTGCCTCCTTGGTCGCCGATTATGGCATAGAGAATTCACAGGCGAGGTTCAATGGTTGCCGAAACATTGCTTGCGGTTGCCTATGTTGTTGTTAATTGCATTGGTTGCCGTAGTTTACAAAGGGGAAGAACAGCGGAGGCAGGAAAGTGACTCTGTGGACGAACAAGTCGCCTGTAGCTCGACATGAAAATGCTCAACATTTGCAGTTTTGGTAGTTCAGGGGAGACACAAGGATCGCTCGAGCAGTTACATATAGAAACGAGATTTTCTGGATTTAGGCGAGCGTCGAACGTCCTGACCATTTTTATTTGCTGGTAGTACAGAGGTCGCAGCCCTCTGTTAAGGGGGCTCTAGCATAACATCAAAAACATATATTTATTTATTATTCCGGGATTTATCTTTAGAATTTTCACAACAATTCGTAACCCTTCTGCACGTCATAATTGTTTGGAGAAATGTTCACTTAACGATTGAATAGTTTTATTATTATTCTCGGATTTATCTCCTGAATATTCTGTCTACGGAGATATTTAAAAAGCGTTCATAAAGCCGTTCAATCTAAAACATCTTCATATCGCCAACGTTTGAAGTCTTTAAACAGTAAAACATTGCCTAAATCCAGACGGTTACCGCATTAGTGATGGACACAAGGACAGGGCACTGGTGACACCTGCTACGTCTGATTATGTTTAAACAAATAAAGTGAACAAAAACTTGACAAATATCGCAGTTCATAGGATAATGTAGCATACAACCTTAACTAAATTAACTTATAAACAACCTGTTTTTTTATGATTATTAACAATTTTATTAATTGCACCACAAAGAGTACCACTGAAAGGGGCATACATGTTATTAGCAAATGACAAAAAATGATACAGGTAACTTAATCATAATAGTGTTATAGCATTTTAATCCAAAAAGCAAAAAACAGTGATAAAGTAATTAAAATTGAGAACAGATATGACAGAGGAAAGGATGAAAAATAGAAACATCTAAGAATTATTACAAGATTGTTTTGAACACAACAGCAATTGAAAACGGTTTTGTTTTGCACTCTTTGCTTGACAAAGGAAATATGCATTTTCAAAAGCTTGCGAAACAAGTTTTTGATAATGTTAAGTTTGTGTTCAAAACAATCCTAGCATATATTCATCATACTGTACCAAAGTGACAAATCAAGGCAATCCTCTGTATCCAGTAAAACACAGGCTATGGTCAATCTCAAGAGAAATGTATATTTCAACAAAAAAAAATATCAATAGAATGTAGCCTCTCAAAAACAATTAGAAAAAATGGTATCTACAAAAAAAGATACTTTTAAACACCAAAATAGTTTGTTTCAGATGTACAATGTAATTTTCATCTTGTCATTATTTTTGATATCAAAAGGACAATTGAAAGAATTCAGACAGAACAAATCATACATCACAGACAGTGTGACCAAAGAACCCAAACCAAATCAATAATCCATACCATCAATATAGAACACATTTCCTTAGGAAACAAATTCAATTTACATGTTAAAGTAATTGCATATTGGAAAATTATATATCTACCCCTTCAGCTGCGCAAAACTATGTATCCATTGCTAAAAAGTGTTCCCTTTGTGAAAATGACAATGGTTGAAATAAACCAAATTGATTCCTACATTAGTAAGTTTCTGAAATAAATGGGGAAGGTAGTAGTCGGACACAATGTTCCCAGTAAAATATCCGATTATATAAAATGTTAATAAACTTTAGATAAACTTAACAATAGGTACGTAAACATTGGTAAAAGACACAATTAGGGCAACAACACTACGCTAAAACAAACTACACAAGCCTTCCACAACCAAGCCAATTTATCACAGAATTCAATGCATCAAATGTCTGGACGGTTAAGGAAACAGCCAGGATAAACTCTTTATCATAAATGTGTAGATGTAACCTCGTAGCATTTAACAGTTACATATTTCTATGTAAGTCAGTGTTATGTGTGTAATTGTATTAATTTCAAATTAACCTGCATGCATTATAAATCATTCTTACTGAAAGGGGCCTTTGCTAGCTAATTACAATGTATTTACTTGAATATTTCAAACTCAAAAATGACCGAAAAAAATCAACCAAAAAAGTACAATTATTATAGATAAAGCTAGGGTATCAATTAATTAGAGAGGTATTAGGTTCCTATAAAACCATACTTCAGTTTAAGGTATTTCAAATTGTGTACACATCAACAAACAATGAACAACTAAATGAGCAGGAGGTCCATCCCAAAGTTATATTGGAGTGTTTATATTGTACTGTTTATATTGGAGTGTTTATATTGGGAGTGTTTATATTTTACTGTTTATACTGGAGTATTTATATTGGAGTGTTTATATTGGAGTGTTTATATTTTACTGTTTATATTGGAGTGTTTATATTGGAGTGTTTATATTGTACTGTTTATATTGGAGTGTTTCTATTGTACTGTTTATATTGTACTGTTTATATTGGAGTGTGTTGAAGAGGTTTGATGCAATGAATACCACATAAATATCACGAGCAAATACGGCCTGTATTCTGACCACAGCTATTAAAATATAACTGTTAATGTATTATATTTATTAAACTGGCAAGCACCTTCTTACAATTTATTATCATATATATATTTATATAACATGCAAAATATAACCATCGTGATATATGACATTTATGTGGTTTAACACACTCGACCAGCAACCACAGGTGTGTTGTATAAGTGGCACCGTATAACACATTCCAATACAACTTAATGTGTGGCAGTTCTCCGATTACTTTGATTTTGTGTAAATATAACTTTGTCAACTATGTCATTTCTGTATATTTTTCAGAAGGGCTATAGTTCACTTTTTACTCAAGTGTATATCTTAAAAACTACACGATACTTGAATTTACAGAAGTTGTTTCGTACAAATTTAATGTAATCTAAAATATGGGTGCCAAGACACAAACAGCCTGTTCAATACCACATACTACTAAGGCAATGGATACGTGTGACAAGTAATTAACTTGTTATTACACACTGGTGATACAGTCGTAGTGATGTGTTCCTTACACAACTAGTCAGCGGTCTCGTATCCCCAATACATGTGACAAGTAATTAACTTGTTATTACACACTGATGATACAGTAGTAGTGATGTGTTCCTTACCCAGCTAGTCAGCTGTCCTGTATCCCCAATACGTGTGACAAGTAATTAACTTGTAATTACACACTGGTGATACGGTAGTAGTGATGTGTTCCTTACACAACTAGTCAGCGGTCTCGTATCCCCAATACATGTGACAAGTAATTAACTTGTTATTACACACTGATGATACAGTAGTAGTGATGTGTTCCTTACCCAGCTAGTCAGCTGTCCTGTATCCCCAATACGTGTGACAAGTAATTAACTTGTAATTACACACTGGTGATACGGTAGTAGTGATGTGTTCCGTACACAACTAGTCAGCTGTCTCGTATCCCCAATACACGTGACAAGTAATTAACTTGTTATTACACACTGATGATACAGTAGTAGTGATGTGTTCCTTACCCAGCTAGTCAGCTGTCCTGTATCCCCAATACGTGTGACAAGTAATTAACTTGTAATTACACACTGGTGATACGGTAGTAGTGATGTGTTCCGTACACAACTAGTCAGCTGTCTCGTATCCCCAATACGTGTGACAAGTAATTAACTTGTAATTACACACTGGTGATACGGTAGTAGTGATGTGTTCCTTACACAACTAGTCAGCTGTCTCGTATCCCCAATACATGTGTTGTCAACACGATTAAACATCTATATCAAAAAATGGAGCTGCAACTATTTGTATTAATTATTACTACTAAGCACTACATACATTGTATATACCAATACACCTTAGTATTTAATTGAAGTACTTGATCAATTTAACAAGATACCTTTCTTCTTTCAAAAGTATTCTTATGTAAGACTTGTATCTAAGGTAAATTACACATATTCCCTTTTATTTCAAAATTATTATTTTTTTCGATAGAACCAATCATGTGAATGGATTTCAAAGAACACATTATAATATCATGTATATTCTGAGTACAATAAACTACATACTGGTAGATATGATTCTGTTTCTACTTCTGATGTGTACCTCACCGTATATGGAAACCTGATGTGATATATCATGGTACTTTATAAATATTGCCAAACATTAATTGTACAAAGTGAACTAAGGGGATCAGAAAGTACAATGAATGATCAGTTTAAAAACATGATTCCAATACATGTCTTGAGGGACCTTACGCTGTATATCCACAGATATTAAAAATATCAAAGATTCTGAACTAAAAAATCAATGTTCCATCAAGTGATCTTAAAATATAATTTTTCAGGTAGTACACTGTTTATAATGTAGACTTACACATAGCGGACCCATAAATGTCAAATGTATAACACTGAATCACACATGTAGGGCTATAATGATTGACCCACTAAAGTTTCTATATAGATCTGCTGGAGTAAGACACTGAGGATTAAAACCATATAAGGACACATGAACACTACTTAACAATTACATTGATGGGGCTGGGGTGTAATAAAATATAATCGGAAGCAAAGTTTTGCCTTAATTTCAATATATCAGTAATAGATCATTGTTTTCGTTGTTGTTGTAACATTATTTACATTTCCTTCGTACATTCTACAGTATATAGCTACAAATTTAGCTAAAAATGACATGTTAGTTATGATAAGACATTGCTATGGTTAAGATTCACTTTCTTGATAACATGCCATCACATGTGTACACGAGATCAATTTTAGTCAACAAGGGCAAATATATGTCTGTACAGACTTTACAAACGTCAGATATCCCCATCAAAACTTCCCTCAGTCAAGAAACTGACTGTCATCATCATTAAAAAACTCCTAATTGTTTCACAGGGAATAACTGTATTATTCTTCATGATATTACAGTTGAAGAATTGCACAACATTACACAATGTGCAATGAACACACCATGTGCAGATAAGTATAACATGAGCATAACGTCTTGCGCACATCTGGGAACACCATGGGGGAAAAAAAAAAATAAAAAAATGCATTGCTATCTTGGTTGATGTAAATTTAAGAATGGTTTGTGATAAAAAAAACTTAATATTTCTTTAATTTACAGCAAACAAACATATTTTTGAGAAATCAATTGGCTTGTTTCTTCTTCAATTTTCATTTTAAATGTAAAATTTTAATGTTATATAATATCATATCGCCTGGCAAAACCCAAGTTACTCATCAGAATGTTCCCTTCCTGTTCTGGTACTGTACTTTTGTAGTTTTACAGTTGCTGTACTACTGAGAAACACACATTACAAAATTGCAAAATATAAAAATCAGAAGTGAAACACCTACATTTGACCTTACTGCACTCTAGCCTTTCAGGGTGGTTTTTTTCCAGTCCGTAATGTTAACCAACCAATGTAACAAAATACACATAAGTGCAAACATAATTACACAACAGGGCAAACATTTGTTAAATTGCATGATTGTACACATCATGTACCTAGGATGTCTGGATGGTGTAAACACAATATGGGCACAGCTTTTTAATGAGATGTGCACTCAAATATAGTTTTTTAAATAAAAACTTTACCTCTGATCAACATAATAATGTATATCTTCACAACTTATCTATGCTGCATATCATATTCTGTTTACTATTTGTAGCTTGGTTTCTGTCAACATATGATAGATAAACATGACTTCCACCACAATAATAGAGTAACAATGTTGAGAAACCCCAAACTATCACCCATATATAACATATCCTATTGTTGTGAAGTAAGAACGGACAACAGTATATAAATATCTTTAATGGAACATGATAGTGATATTGTTGTTAATTGGGAATAGTTAAGCCAGATACAGTAATTACCTTCTAATTAGTCAATATATATTTATCTATACCCGGTACATCAACACAGAAATGAACTATAGACATACATCACATGATATTAGATATGTGTCTTGTTAACCCTTTCACCCCTAGGTAACTTACGTAGACTTGATCTGCCATACATTCATATGGATGAGTCTACAGTGATGAAAGGGTAAAAGAGCCTTCTCATATAACTTATTACATCACAACCATCAATAGAAGGAATTTTAAATCAGAACAGAGATGAATGGTAGATAATGAAGTGAAATGCAAATTGAGACAAAAAGAAGTATTGGGAAAGACATCACAGGTCTTGTTAAAAAAGGAAGAAGAAAAATAGAACCACATCAATTTTAAACACAATTAATAATTGGACAAATGATTGAATAGAAAATTGACAACTTGATCAAATTCCTATCTGTACCTACTCAAGATCATTTGTACCTAGTTTTCTACTGAAGAGAAAAGTACCTCTATGATGTCTGGTGTCATACAGATAACATAGATGCTATTCAGAACTACAATAATTATGATTATTAAAGTAATGGCTTTCAAATTTTATATACTAATGCATCCAAAATATTTTTTGATTAAAAATAATAAAAGCAAAAAATATACATGCATGCATGGCTTGGTCTACGTGTTTCTAATAGCAACATTTTCCATGGATAGCACAGCATATTATAGCTATCTTGTATTTTAACTTGTTCCTTTCCATAATATAATATAATCAAGTTTTGCTAAGGTGAATATGACATAGATTATGATTCGTTTAGAAGAGCTGCAGAAAATTCACATTTATGTACCAACTCATTGGAATGTGACACACCTTATCTGAAATCTCTTCTTCAAAAATACATGTTGTCAAAAAATATATCTCAAACATGCCTTTCAAGTTTATGCATACTTGTTATTAACAGACACGGTTCAAAATATCCACCACAAGCATTCGCTTTAGTATAAAGCAAGCGAGCACTGAATCAAAGGTTTTGCTATTTACTCTGTAGGAAGTTGAAAACAGCATTGAAGGAACAACATACCAATCTACAGCTAAACAATAGTAACATATCTAAAACTAATGACAAAACAATAGTACCATATCTAAAACTAATGACAAAACAATTGTACCATATCTAAAATTAATGACAAAAATTTGTATAATGATGGTACTATATTCCCGAGCCAATTATTTATGCAATGAATATCCAAAAAAAATGAAGTTATGAGGATAACAATTTGATTTTTTTTTTAAATGAACAGAATTGGTTGTTTAATGTCCTTGTAACAGTGAAAGTCATAGGAAGACAGAATGAACAGAAGATATAGTTGTGTTTAATTTTGATGAATAGGCCTGTTTATGTTTTCACTGTTTTCATTTCATGTTAAAACAGACAGCTGATATAAACTACTTAAAAGACACCTGTAATCAAATTAGACAAACATCTCATGTTTTAACAATCCAGGAATATTTTAACCAACCGTCTAATTTTTTCTGTGACACTAAGGAATTAGCTATCTAACTCTGTGGTGACGCTGAGTGTACATGTGACAATGAGAGTTTGTAGTAGTCTGTTTAAACCACCATAGCAATCTGATGATTTCCACTTGGATATAAAGTAGATATACATGTAGTATGTACAATGTCAGGATCACACAATATCACAGTGTAAATCTGACAAATATATGTGCATATTTCAAGAAAAAAAGAACCTGATAAGGTAAAGCTTTCAGATCTAGTACCATTAAAAATTCAAATTGATTTTTTTGTGTTACTTGATGTAATTAAATGCATGTAAAAGTTTTCAAACGCACAAGTAAGAGTACAATGAAAAGTTCTAAAGCAAATAATTGATGTTTAAAAACAATAGTCTACCAAAGGTGTATCTTGAATATTGATTCCTCGTCACTGGTGGTCAGGTCTGGTCCAGCAAACCATGGTTAGGAAAGGTATACCCTGTAGACCTTGAGTCAGGTTACACATCAAAATGACTTATACGTCTAGAGTGCTTCTTCCCATTTATTACACTGGTGAGTGAAGCTAAGACTGGAGTAATGTAGCACCGTCACTGTCCAACACCATGTGTGTCAATACTCCCGAGAGTTATCAGGTAAGTCTGAGATAATGATGCAATGTACATGTAGGATGATTGCAGGTGATTCTGAGCACTTGTTGTTACTGATCGTAGCCGTACAGTGGATTTGGTGAGGGTGCCCCTGGCTGACCCAATGGTGTGGCGGTGGCTGTGGGAGGGACTGTAGCGGGAGGTGTGGGGTAGGTCGAGGCTTGACCTTGGACCACCTGCTCATAAGATGGTGGTTTGGTGTCAGTCTGAGGCTGACCCACACACTCTGTGTAAGATGGTGGTGCAGGGAAGTTTTGGGGTCCCGCTTGGTTGGTGTAGGCATGGGGGTATTCATTCTGTACAATCCCTGCTTGGTCCTGTAACAACGAAAGCATTGTCACTTTATCACCATTCTGAACCAGAGAAGACTTAAATGTTTTAGCTACAACTTCACCGCTAAATTATACATGTACTTACATATATAGTTATTACACTTATTTCTGTCTCATATGCATGTACCTGGTACATTGTACATGTATACTTATTTGCAGAAAAAAAAGTATTCTGAATATAATATATCTATTAAAGGGATATTTGGTTTAAGTACCAAGTGCAAAAAATATATATAGTGCAGTAATACAAAAAGGACATCTCCATATTTTGATATCAAAATAATTAGATCAAGGAAATTTTGAGTGCATGACCCTGAATTCAGTAAAGAAACAAACTTCATTGTCTAATGAATCTTGAAATATGCATAGGTATATTGAGTGAAAGTATTTATTTGTAACAAGTACCAATATTACCAATGAAAAGTGTAATATTTCAGTCACACTGCCAACACACTATTGTAAAGTCAAATGTCTTGAACATCATTTTGTTACAGTTGGATTTACAAATGCAAATTCCAGAAGACATTAAGATTCAGTAATTTATCAATGAATTTCTCAAGCGTGTAACATTTTCACCATGTGTCCAGGGCCTGTATTTATGAAACCATTCTCGTCCTCAAGCCTAGATTAGGGATTGTGTGCTCAAGCCAACTTTCTCGTAACTCACTTATCAAACGTCAAATGTAAACACATGAAAACAGTTATTGGCGTGAAGTATGTTTTTTTACTCTTTTCAAATATTTAACAAAGTATGATTTCATTTTTTTATTTTTTTTAATCAAAACAAGAAATTAGACTTGAACACAAAATCTGTGTCCCAGAATATCACTGATGAAGTAACAATCATGGCTTTGTATCTTCATACACAGTATAGATAGTCTTTTAATGGAACAAAGTTACCACCACATGTCTGATGAGCATATCACAGTGTCCAGTTGTACCCACAGATGTTATCCAAGGTAACCAAGTGGTCATACAGAAGAAATGTGAAAATATGATCAACTTTGCAAAAGGTACACTGTATTTGTATTAGACAAAATTTCTAGATTAGAGGTTTACTTTTATAAAGAATGAGATATATCTGCGAGGCTAGATCTATCTGTTTATGATAAATTCTGCTACATCTATAATGCAGATTTCTAAGTTAACATGGATAATAACTTGTTATATTTTGATATATAACATTAAGCTGCCGATTAGAAGTTTGAAGGACACTTACATGAGTGACACCATTTCCAGTTACAACTTGTCTTGTTCTTTCAACCACAAAAAAGTTACGCTGTGTAGTTCTGCCTGACCTTAAACTCTGTGTAGTTCTGCGTGACCTTAAACGCTGCGAGCGAGCATAAAAGTAAAATATCCAGAACAGCACTTTCAGGAACACAAGAATCACCAAAATACTGCAAGGAAAAATATCATATATTAAAATATTATACACTGGCAATTCATCCTAAACACCCAAGTACAATATCAAACACTGACAATTCTGCAAATCATAAAATTTTCACGAAAATATATGACAAAAAACTGTAGTAAATACCCAAAGAAATGTATTCATTTGACAGTAACTTTGATATTATATATTCAAGTACCTGGGTAACACTAAATGTTAGTGTTTCAATATATAGTCTGGAGCCACAGCAAACAAATCCAACGCGTCTTAGGATTTAAAATAAATCATGACAGTGCTGTAATATTTTGATAAGGAAACAGTCTTTCTCTATGAAGGTAACAGATACAGCCTTATACAGATATGTGTAAGGATTGTATTTATCATCAACTGACCATTACTGAATACGCTAACTGTACTTGTCCTTCTGTCAATCTTTTGATATCCATCACCACAATCACTACCTCACGTTTTACTGTAAAATCGTGAATTTTCATGGGGCATTAAATTTCGTTTATTTCGTGGATAACAAAAATCCACGAATTTAAATCCCCACGAAAACATAAATTTGGTATGATATAGATAGGGGGAAGTCAGAAATCAGCGAAATATGATGTCCATGAAACAGGCTAGTATATGAATACCACGAAATTTTCACCCCAAGAAAATAAATGATTCTACAGTAGTTTGCCAAAGGCTGATGTGATGATCATAAATTTTGATCAAAAGAACCAGTTGCAAGTCCCCAGCACCTAAATAGGCCTTAACATGGAAAACTTGATCACAATATCACTTTTATAAACCTTCCATATATAACACATTTTTGATGACATACAAACGTATAATTATTATACACATTGTATAAAGCATAATGTTGACCACTGACAATTTAACAATGTCACATATCACAAAGAATGATCATGGTTTCAGCCAACAAAAGTACTGAATACTTCAAACTCAAACAATCTATATTTAACATTTCCTCGTCAGGATTTTTGAGTTCCTGAACTGGACTCCTGTCACTAGATAGGAGCACCTATTCTTACTCAAAATCATTCACACCCCACACTGACCCCAAGGTGTTGCAATAGGGGAATTTCAACCTGAGGGGGAAGATTTTTAAGTTGCCAAACACAAGGCTTAATGCCTCATGAGGGCGAATAGTTCTAGCGGAATAGGAAAAGTTACATCATATGGATGACATCTGGTCCATACGACACGTTCATTTCACAGACAGAAGTGAGAGAAATAAATGAAGTTCATACATTGTTTACTTACAAATAAAGGTAATCCATGTTTGTTTGGAATCTGTTCAATCTGAAATGAAAACAGAAGTGATCACTGTACGGTAATTTTATGGGAATAAAAGCCATTATAAATGGATGTAAATTTTTATTCTAGGATACCTCAGTGACGACTTAGTCTATGCAGAGTTGAACCTTACCCCACAAAAAATTATTCAAAAACCAAGATCCATCCCAGTATATGGTAACTCAAACTGGAATTCAATTAAAGCTGAGCTTATCAACGTGTACAACTGTATGACAGAAAATAGCGAGTGGGACGTAAATAAAATATGGGAGGATTTCAAAATTGAATTGTCTAAACTCATAAAAGAACATATCCCCCACAAGATAGTTAAGACAAAACCCAGCCTACCTTGGGTTACCCCTGACATAAAGAAACTTATCAGGAGAAGAAATAGATTGTACAAACGATTGGAAAAATCGGGAGACACTGAAATAAAAAATAAGTATAAAAACCTGAAACATCATATACAGAGAAAACTCTGAACATCTTACTGGAGCCATATTGATAATATCAACACCCCAGAAAACACAACCAATGAGAACAAAATATTCCTGCAGGAAACGGTTTTGGTCATATGTGGAATCCAAGGGGTTGGACCATGGTGGCATGGCTCCTCTGAAAAAGGACGGTGGACTTGTTTATGACCCTGCCACCAGGGCCCAGGTGCTAGACGCACGGTTTCGGTCTGTTTTTGCTCCTCCTGGAATCTTTACCGACCAGCAGTTTCGCACTAGATGCAACATACCTACTCACGATGGATACCCTGCCATGCCTGAAATATCTATGCATGAAGGGGGCGTCTTAAAACTGCTCCAAGGCCTAAATCCATACAAGGCCTCGGGGCCCTGATGACATCAAACCCAGAGTACTAAAAGAGCTTGCAACAGAAGTGGCCCCGATATTGACCCTAATATTTGATCAGTCTCTGGAGACAGGCATGGTGCCTTCAGACTGGAAATCTGCAAATGTATCACCTGCTTATAAAAAGGGTCCAAAATTTCACCCAGAAAACAACAGGCCCATATCACTGACCTGTATCTGTAGCAAAATTATGGAACACATTTTGGTCTCAACTGTCATGACCCATGCCGATACCCATGGCATATTGTATCCGTTCCAACATGGTTTTCGCAAATCGCGATCATGCGAAACCCAACTTCTTGAATTTGTGGATGGCATCTCAGGGAATCTTGATGAGGGACGCCAAACGGGTGTCCTCATAATGGACTTTGCTAAGGCTTTCGACAGGGTCAGTCATTTTCTCCTAAACCATAAACTAAAACATTATGGTATACGTGGAAATGTCGCAAACTGGATCGAGAGTTTCCTGACAGGTAGAACTCAGACAGTAGTGGTTGAGGGGGAGAAGTCTGATTTTGTCCATGTCCATTCCGGGGTACCCTGGGGGTCAGTTTTGGGACCCAGTTTATTTCTTTACTTTAAAGGCGATATCCCTGTGGGTCTAAATGCTACAATCCGTTTATTTGCAGACGACACTATTGCATATCTAGTTATCAAGTCAAACAGTGATGCTGAAACACTTCAAAAAGATCTTGACAAACTAGCGCTCTGGGAAAATACATGGAAAATGATCTTCAACCCAAACAAATGCAATGTGTTGTCGGTGACTAAAGACAAAACTCCAATGGTCCATGATTATACTTTACATGGACACATCCTGGAACATCTTAGATAGGCCAAGTGTCTGGGTGTAACACTATCATCTGACCTTAAATGGGATTCACATATATATACTATGTGCCCAAAAGCAAATTCTACGCTAGGCTTTTTAAGACGAAATCTTAGGGTTGGCTCAACATCAGCCAAGGTACAGGCATGCAAATCATTAGTTTGACCATCACTTGAGTATGCCTGTACAGTATGGGACCCTCCCTCCCAAACAAATATTGACAAGTTGGAAATGGTCCAGCGAAGGGCAGCGCGCTATGTGCTCAATAAGCACAGGTACAACCATCGGACCTCCAGTGTGTCAGAAATGTTGGACCACCTAAAGCTGCGCCCTCTAGCAGATAGACGTAGAGATGCTCGTCTGACCATGCTTCATGGCATTGTGGACCAGGCTTCAAGGCATTGTGGACCAGAAAGTCGCTATCGTAGGGTCGGACAGATTGGTCCCTATACAGTTGGAGAATCCCGAACGGGCCACCATTTTTGTATCAAATTCCCCACTCAAAAACCCAGACCAGAAAGGCATCATTCTTCCCCCGAACTATACCCGAGTGGAATAAACTCCCACCTGACATTGTTTCAAGCCCCACAACGGAATTATTCAAATCAGCCCTCTACCGTCACCTTTCAAACGCAAATTGGACCATCTCGTATCTTTTAAAAACAATCTCTTTCCATGTTTCACACCTCGTCTGACATTTTATCTTCAAATTGTTGAAGTTGGTCAGTTCCATTTAGAAGTAGAAGTAAAAAATATATAGAGGATATTTAATGGTGCCTTCAGTAACAACAAATATATCTCACGAGTCAGCTAATATTTTGATATTTTTCATGAGTGTGCAGCACGTCAGTGACAAAATGTTAGCCACACGTGTGAAATACATTTGTTAATACTAAAGACACCATTAGATTTTCTATTTATTACATTTTTAAAGTATAAAACATGAAAAATACAATGCATTTAAAAAGGGCGGGAATCAGAAGAGAAATAATTAGCGCCATATTCTAATGACGTCAAGCTTGACAACAAGGCTGCGCTATTTTGAATGGGATACTCAACGCAATTTCAAAGTTTTCTGCTATTTTCTAGTATGATTGCTTATAAAAATGTTATTAATTGTATATTTCTGTAAATACTTAAGTGTGTGTACCAAACATTTACCATAGCAACCACTTACTCTACCGTCGCATCATTTGAATCTGAACAAAAAGTTGTTGCCTTTCAATGCAGCGAATAGAAGATACCATTATGATTAGTCAATACCAAAAAGTGATATTTTCACACTGTGAAAATATCACTTTTGATATTTGTCACAGTGTGAAAGATATCAGTTTTATCAAGTTGATAGAATCCGATATTTCACTGGCAAAAATGTAAAATATACATGCATTTACTTATCTTAACTCTTCATTACTTGTGAATGTTACCTCTCCTTTATGAACTGCATTAATGTAAGGGAAGGTAAAAGGTACCCAGTTTGTTAAGTAGGAGTTGAGTCCCATTATCCAGATCAGAAATATAACATGGCCCACTTCTAACTGGCTGAGACATTATACGACTCTTGTTGTATTGGAATGAATTTGTTTATACCTGAATTGGTGGTAATCAGGGCTGGACAATAGTGGAATCTCCAGCTGGACTAGTGGTTCTAAAAACCAATTGCCTGAATGACTTTCAATATTGCTTATCTTGTTGAATAATATTGGGATAATGGAATTTGCACATGGACTATATAGCAAGTAAAAACTGGAAACTACTACCTCTATTGACTAGTGGCACTGTCATTATTCTTTGCCCATATATATATTTAAGTTTGTTAGGATCCAATGCCAATATTGGAACATACTGTCGTTATCATATCTTTAAAATCAATTTCTACCCATGGTCATGTGTGAAAAACCTTATTAACTATATTTCAAATACAACATGTTATGGCTTCTGCGTGCCTATATAATATAGCTATTATATGGAGATGCATACACAAATGTAGACATGTTTGTGATTGAACCAGGAAGGACAATTTATGTTTGCAATGTATTTATTGAGTATTCATCTGAAAGAATACCTTAACCTGTCCTTAGTTATTGCATATTTTGACGAAAACAACAATACGAAACTTCCACATAACATCCTGGTTGGTTAGGGTGACACTTTGTTGTAATATTCATTTATCATTACATCGCTTTCTTTCTCAAAATATTAAAAAAAAAAAAATGAAAACGGACGAGATAACTCACAAGATAAACCATTTCCTTTAAACTAGACATCTGAGCACGAGAAACATTGGCTTACCAAACTTGTATTTTTCTTTTTTTTCTTCCTCTTCTGGCAATATTTTGTCCGATTTAGGGGAATTCCCTATGAAAATGAAAATAATATTGGAAACGGAGTTCAATAGATTATCCGGATTATAGTAAACTATGCTGTATTGTATAGTAATAATAAGAAGTATCTTACATTTGGTAGACGCATGGTGTATTTTGTAAATTATTCCAAAAGGAAAATTAGTCAACACCATAATAAAAAGGTTAGTTTCCATTTATTCCGTATAGTCGTCACCGAAGTATGTTTATAGCATTGTTAACGCTTGTCTTCGTCTTTTCTGCGTTTGATTTACCGTTATGTACGCCGGAAGAGAGAACATTTATATTGACTACGATTCATCACTTGCCGGTTGTCCACAAGAAAAGGAAGAAAATTGCAACACGTCAATATGCCTGTAAGTTACGCACATTCTTCTTTTTGTAAAGACATTAATTAGATTTTGATTGGATACATATGCTTTATATGCGTGTTTAATGCATCAATTGATGATTAAAAGGATAAATAGCATCACCATATGATCGATGGGTCTGTTGGCATTCCTGATGTTGGTTCATTTTGAACAGCTGTGCTTGAAAAAATGGATTTCGCATGACGCCGATTCAAGTAACAATATACCGATTGGACTAACATTGACATGCCACAATCCATTTACATTACTTTAATTTCGCATTTGGTTCTGTGTTAATTTACTTTTTTATGCTTACTTCTGTCTTAGTTTTTTTCATCCCATTTTCAATAATTTCGCCCACCCATCAGAATTATACTATATACAGGTACTAGACACACTGATATGATATGTTTATACTATGTAATAGAGGTTATAACGAAAGTCAAATTTTCAGGGCGATCCGCCCCTCAGTTCAAGACAGGAACATGAACATTTACATATCACTATAACACAGTTTGTTGAGATAAACCACAGGGACCTGATAACTTGTTACAGCTATATTTGGACCTAAACTAAGGTGTTCATGATTCAAAATATGATCATTTGGCAAAGTTGGCAAGTTTTTACATGTACGTTAAAAACAAATTTCTTATAAAACCTTATTAAATATCTCCTCAGAAGGTCAAATGAATTGATATGACAAATCTGATTAGATCTTGTGAGAAAATCTATGTTGTATGTAATAGTATACTAGTGTAAACACATAATATCAGTGTATCCAGCACCTGTGAGTACTTTTGTTGGTAACTTTTCTGTTTCTTAGAATGTTAATTATAACCATAAGTTAATTGGACAAATCTTCTATTTTGCAGACGAATTTAACATGTGCATCACTATATACGTGTAAAATTATATCAATATTACTAACGGAAGCATCAAATAATTCCCCAGTTGTGTTATCAAAATGGGATGCAAAGCGAAGTGAAGAAAATTAATTTTAATATTCAAATCATGTATTGTTCAGATTTCTACTGTGTCAGTCTAAAAACATCTCAAGGTATTCTTGTTCAAGCTTTTATTTATTGTATTTTAGCCAAAAGGAAAACCATTAACTAAAGGACAGAAACAGATTGTGGAGGAGAATAAGAAGACACTCCAGTTTTATCAATATATCATGCTCGTTGTAAATGTAAGTGGTTACTAGCTCTGACATGGTCTGCTGTATGTATATCAAATATATACTGTATAATAGATGTGTACTGTAATGCTGAAGCAACCACATTATAATTCAAGTGCAAGTTTAAAATAAGTACAGTTGTGGGACCGCACAACGCACCAAAAATAGCGTGCGCACACCGTGCATACATCGTTCACACACCGTCCGCACATCGTCCACACATGGTGCGCACAACTGTGCGATTTAGCAATCGTTCGCCCCGTTGTGCGCTTCTCTCCGCACAACTGTGCGATTTGGTATCATTTGTAGATCAAAATTACGGAATGACAAAAATACGGAAGGCTTGTATGCGATAATGTACACTGTGTATATATCTGTAATTTCTCATCACAATAATCAAGATTATACAATTTCACAATGCGTGTTACACAGTATTACAGCGACCGTTAGGCTGTCAAGAATGGGTTTGGCTCCAAGGTAACAGAACAGGTAAATAACAATTTTATGAGTGTCCGGAGTTTTACCTGACCAGTGCCTGACACACAGAGCTGATATGCGATACCGTTTGACCGTAATGAATAGTATTTGTTATTTGCATTCGTTTGCCTATAGCTCCCCTTCACCTGGATTTTCACACCCCCGGCCTTACCCGACGAGTTACGTAAATGCCCCAGGCGGGGAGAAAACTACGGTCCAGGTACATGTACAAAGTGGTTATGTTTACCTGTATACGGGATTGTGTTGTAATTTTACATGTGTCGATTAAGTTTGTTTAAAAACACAGAAAACACAATTCCTAAATATAAGAATATATAGACGGAAAGATAAGTTTATAGATGTTGCTAGAATATAGAAACATACGTAAACATCAAGTTTATATGTTTAAACACGAAACCGTATAAATTGTTAAGGCATTTCTCAATTTACACCAACCACGATTGTTATCGCACAACGTCCGTCCATCGTGCACACATATGTGCGCAAGCAATGATCGTTCAGCTTTTTATCGTTCGCCCATCGTGCACACACCGTTCACACACCGTGCACACATCGTGCGCACATCGTGTAACGTTGTGCGATCACACAACTGTAACGTTTTAAGTTATTTGATACACTAACAAAAAATGTATTAATACGTTTATAGAATAGAATTATGAAAGATTTACTGCCACAAAATAAGTTACAAATGTATGTTGTTTTATATAGAGTGACATTGTATAGGATGGTCTTCCCCCACAATCATTATATACTTACAGGTCATCAATAGTGTGTGAACATTTTTAAGTGTGTTATTGATAAGGATATAATAGTCATATGCTGTACATATATGAGATATATTATTTCTAAATACATCACTTTGTAGGTCTTTGTAGATGTGTTGGTATATCATTATTTGTAGGTCTTTGTACATGTGTTGGTATATCATTATTTGTAGGTCTTTGTACATGTGTTGGTATATCATTAAATAACTCTTGCTTCACCATCAGTATCCAGAGCATACATATGTACATGTATACCCAACTTAACTGGTGATCATGTTCTCATGTACAGGATTACTGAAATTTGTGTAAAAGAAATGCCTTATAAACTTTAAACTATGAAGAAAATACTCAATTATCATGTACTGTTTTCTTTGAGAAAAATATCTAGTGATGAATTAACCTAGACTTTGTATTTAAAAAAAACACCAGAAAAGATAGATATGTATACATGTATTGCCTTGTTTTTATAATATGACAAAATAAATGTTGTAAAATGTCTGTTCAAGGCAAAAACATTGATTTGAAAGCATTGCGAAAATCATCAACAGAGTCACAGCACCATCTTCAACTAATAAACAAATGAATGTATGCTACAGAGAATGGTAACTTGTATGTATGCTACAGAGAATGGTAACTTGTATGTATGCTACAGAGAATGGTAACTTGTATGTATGCTACAGAGAATGGTAACTTGTATGTATGCTACAGAGAATGGTAACTTGTATGTATGCTACAGAGAATGGTAACTTGTATGTATGCTACAGAGAATGGTAACTTGTATGTATGCTACAGAGAATGGTAACTTGTATGTATGCTACAGAGAATGGTAACTTGTATGTATGCTACAGAGAATGGTAACTTGTATGTATGCTACAGAGAATGGTAACTTGTATGTATGCTACAGAGAATGGTAACTTGTATGTATGCTACAGAGAATGGTAACTTGTATGTATGCTACAGAGAATGGTAACTTGTATGTATGCTACAGAGAATGGTAACTTGTATGTATGCTACAGAGAATGGTAACTTGTATGTATGCTACAGAGAATGGTAACTTGTATGTATGCTACAGAGAATGGTAACTTGTATGTATGCTACAGAGAATGGTAACTTGTATGTATGCTACAGAGAATGGTAACTTGTATGTATGCTACAGAGAATGGTAACTTGTATGTATGCTACAGAGAATGGTAACTTGTATGTATGCTACAGAGAATGGTAACTTGTATGTATGCTACAGAGAATGGTAACTTGTATGTATGCTACAGAGAATGGTAACTTGTATGTATGCTACAGAGAATGGTAACTTGTATGTATGCTACAGAGAATGGTAACTTGTATGTATGCTACAGAGAATGGTAACTTGTATGTATGCTACAGAGAATGGTAACTTGTATGTATGCTACAGAGAATGGTAACTTGTATGTATGCTACAGAGAATGGTAACTTGTATGTATGCTACAGAGAATGGTAACTTGTATGTATGCTACAGAGAATGGTAACTTGTATGTATGCTACAGAGAATGGTAACTTGTATGTATGCTACAGAGAATGGTAACTTGTATGTATGCTACAGAGAATGGTAACTTGTATGTATGCTACAGAGAATGGTAACTTGTATGTATGCTACAGAGAATGGTAACTTGTATGTATGCTACAGAGAATGGTAACTTGTATGTATGCTACAGAGAATGGTAACTTGTATGTATGCTACAGAGAATGGTAACTTGTATGTATGCTACAGAGAATGGTAACTTGTATGTATGCTACAGAGAATGGTAACTTGTATGTATGCTACAGAGAATGGTAACTTGTATGTATGCTACAGAGAATGGTAACTTGTATGTATGCTACAGAGAATGGTAACTTGTATGTATGCTACAGAGAATGGTAACTTGTATGTATGCTACAGAGAATGGTAACTTGTATGTATGCTACAGAGAATGGTAACTTGTATGTATGCTACAGAGAATGGTAACTTGTATGTATGCTACAGAGAATGGTAACTTGTATGTATGCTACAGAGAATGGTAACTTGTATGTATGCTACAGAGAATGGTAACTTGTATGTATGCTACAGAGAATGGTAACTTGTATGTATGCTACAGAGAATGGTAACTTGTATGTATGCTACAGAGAATGGTAACTTGTATGTATGCTACAGAGAATGGTAACTTGTATGTATGCTACAGAGAATGGTAACTTGTATGTATGCTACAGAGAATGGTAACTTGTATGTATGCTACAGAGAATGGTAACTTGTATGTATGCTACAGAGAATGGTAACTTGTATGTATGCTACAGAGAATGGTAACTTGTATGTATGCTACAGAGAATGGTAACTTGTATGTATGCTACAGAGAATGGTAACTTGTATGTATGCTACAGAGAATGGTAACTTGTATGTATGCTACAGAGAATGGTAACTTGTATGTATGCTACAGAGAATGGTAACTTGTATGTATGCTACAGAGAATGGTAACTTGTATGTATGCTACAGAGAATGGTAACTTGTATGTATGCTACAGAGAATGGTAACTTGTATGTATGCTACAGAGAATGGTAACTTGTATGTATGCTACAGAGAATGGTAACTTGTATGTATGCTACAGAGAATGGTAACTTGTATGTATGCTACAGAGAATGGTAACTTGTATGTATGCTACAGAGAATGGTAACTTGTATGTATGCTACAGAGAATGGTAACTTGTATGTATGCTACAGAGAATGGTAACTTGTATGTATGCTACAGAGAATGGTAACTTGTATGTATGCTACAGAGAATGGTAACTTGTATGTATGCTACAGAGAATGGTAACTTGTATGTATGCTACAGAGAATGGTAACTTGTATGTATGCTACAGAGAATGGTAACTTGTATGTATGCTACAGAGAATGGTAACTTGTATGTATGCTACAGAGAATGGTAACTTGTATGTATGCTACAGAGAATGGTAACTTGTATGTATGCTACAGAGAATGGTAACTTGTATGTATGCTACAGAGAATGGTAACTTGTATGTATGCTACAGAGAATGGTAACTTGTATGTATGCTACAGAGAATGGTAACTTGTATGTATGCTACAGAGAATGGTAACTTGTATGTATGCTACAGAGAATGGTAACTTGTATGTATGCTACAGAGAATGGTAACTTGTATGTATGCTACAGAGAATGGTAACTTGTATGTATGCTACAGAGAATGGTAACTTGTATGTATGCTACAGAGAATGGTAACTTGTATGTATGCTACAGAGAATGGTAACTTGTATGTATGCTACAGAGAATGGTAACTTGTATGTATGCTACAGAGAATGGTAACTTGTATGTATGCTACAGAGAATGGTAACTTGTATGTATGCTACAGAGAATGGTAACTTGTATGTATGCTACAGAGAATGGTAACTTGTATGTATGCTACAGAGAATGGTAACTTGTATGTATGCTACAGAGAATGGTAACTTGTATGTATGCTACAGAGAATGGTAACTTGTATGTATGCTACAGAGAATGGTAACTTGTATGTATGCTACAGAGAATGGTAACTTGTATGTATGCTACAGAGAATGGTAACTTGTATGTATGCTACAGAGAATGGTAACTTGTATGTATGCTACAGAGAATGGTAACTTGTATGTATGCTACAGAGAATGGTAACTTGTATGTATGCTACAGAGAATGGTAACTTGTATGTATGCTACAGAGAATGGTAACTTGTATGTATGCTACAGAGAATGGTAACTTGTATGTATGCTACAGAGAATGGTAACTTGTATGTATGCTACAGAGAATGGTAACTTGTATGTATGCTACAGAGAATGGTAACTTGTATGTATGCTACAGAGAATGGTAACTTGTATGTATGCTACAGAGAATGGTAACTTGTATGTATGCTACAGAGAATGGTAACTTGTATGTATGCTACAGAGAATGGTAACTTGTATGTATGCTACAGAGAATGGTAACTTGTATGTATGCTACAGAGAATGGTAACTTGTATGTATGCTACAGAGAATGGTAACTTGTATGTATGCTACAGAGAATGGTAACTTGTATGTATGCTACAGAGAATGGTAACTTGTATGTATGCTACAGAGAATGGTAACTTGTATGTATGCTACAGAGAATGGTAACTTGTATGTATGCTACAGAGAATGGTAACTTGTATGTATGCTACAGAGAATGGTAACTTGTATGTATGCTACAGAGAATGGTAACTTGTATGTATGCTACAGAGAATGGTAACTTGTATGTATGCTACAGAGAATGGTAACTTGTATGTATGCTACAGAGAATGGTAACTTGTATGTATGCTACAGAGAATGGTAACTTGTATGTATGCTACAGAGAATGGTAACTTGTATGTATGCTACAGAGAATGGTAACTTGTATGTATGCTACAGAGAATGGTAACTTGTATGTATGCTACAGAGAATGGTAACTTGTATGTATGCTACAGAGAATGGTAACTTGTATGTATGCTACAGAGAATGGTAACTTGTATGTATGCTACAGAGAATGGTAACTTGTATGTATGCTACAGAGAATGGTAACTTGTATGTATGCTACAGAGAATGGTAACTTGTATGTATGCTACAGAGAATGGTAACTTGTATGTATGCTACAGAGAATGGTAACTTGTATGTATGCTACAGAGAATGGTAACTTGTATGTATGCTACAGAGAATGGTAACTTGTATGTATGCTACAGAGAATGGTAACTTGTATGTATGCTACAGAGAATGGTAACTTGTATGTATGCTACAGAGAATGGTAACTTGTATGTATGCTACAGAGAATGGTAACTTGTATGTATGCTACAGAGAATGGTAACTTGTATGTATGCTACAGAGAATGGTAACTTGTATGTATGCTACAGAGAATGGTAACTTGTATGTATGCTACAGAGAATGGTAACTTGTATGTATGCTACAGAGAATGGTAACTTGTATGTATGCTACAGAGAATGGTAACTTGTATGTATGCTACAGAGAATGGTAACTTGTATGTATGCTACAGAGAATGGTAACTTGTATGTATGCTACAGAGAATGGTAACTTGTATGTATGCTACAGAGAATGGTAACTTGTATGTATGCTACAGAGAATGGTAACTTGTATGTATGCTACAGAGAATGGTAACTTGTATGTATGCTACAGAGAATGGTAACTTGTATGCTACAGAGAATGGTAACTTGTATGTATGCTATAGAGAATGGTAACTTGTATGTATTGCTACAGAGAAAGTTAACTTGTATGTATTGCTACAGAGAATGGTAACTTGTATGTATGCTACAGAGAATGGTAACTTGTTTGTAGCTACAGAGAAAGGTAACTTGTATGTATGCTACAGAGAATGTTAACTTGTATGTATGCTATAGAGAATGTTAACTTGTTTGTAGCTACAGAGAATGGTAACCTGTATGTATGCTACAGAGAATGGTAACTTGTATGTATATTGCTACAGAGAATGGTAACTTGTATGTATGCTACAGAGAATGGTAACCTGTATGTATGCCACAGAGAATGGTAACTTGTATGTATGCTTCAGAGAATGGTAACTTGTATGTATGCTTCAGAGAATGGTAACTTGTATGTATGCTTCAGAGAATGGTAACTTGTATGTATGCTTCAGAGAATGGTAACTTGTATGTATGCTACAAAGAATTGTAACTTGTATGTATGCTACAGAGAATGATAACTTGTATGTATGCTACAGAGAATGATAACTTGTATGTATGCTACAGAGAATGATAACTTGTATGTATGCTACAGAGAATGCTAACTTGTTTGTAGCTACAGAGAATGGTTACTTGTATGTATGCTACAGAGAATGGTAACTTGTATGTATGCTACATAGAATGGTAACTTGTATGTATGCTACAGAGAATGGTTACTTGTATGTATGCTACAGAGAATGGTAACTTGTACATGTATGTATGCTACAGAGAATGGTAACTTGTATGTATGCTACAGAGAATGGTAACTTGTATGTATATAGGGATTACATGATAAACTGTCAGGAGATTAAGTGCTGATGAATACAATTATGAGTTTTTTTATCTGATGCCTTATATAGCTATGTTTTGTGTCTATGGACAGGGTGTTTACTGGACGCTTCAGTACTGGTTGTTCTGGGACAGCTTCACTTTATTCTACATGGTAAGAAAAGGTTTTACTTTTATATTTATACATGTTTACCATAATCAACTTTCATATCATAGAACACTGTACTTGAAAGAAATGTTATTAACTGTTTAAAAGACTATCAATAATTATGATATTACCGGTATATGTAAATTCAGTTCAATCAAAGGCACAAAGGGGAACAATTCCTTAAAATTTCCAAAAAATCTTGTATATATGTGATTTTGGTTTTGGTCAAAATTGTCTTCAACTATTTAACTAATTAGTCACTTGTACAATGTAGTTCAGTTGTGTTTGATGTAGGGTATACACCTTGATACATTGACATTTATCTGAACTCATATATAGTAACATCTACATTTACAAATTCTTCTACAGCGTCGGAAGGCCTAATGTCATAATATTTAGCAAATAGCTTTCTGTGGTAGAGGGTCCTCAGCTTTTATCAAATGAATGATGTTGAACCCAGTCATCATCACATAGAAAGATTTTTGGACATTTTGTTTTTATTACATTATCAAGAATTGTTGCAAGTACAACAATAGTGTGAGGTCGCTATTTTGACATCCATGATGTCACACCTCATTGCCTAAAATAACTTCTTCAGGAAGTCCTGAAAGATGCTGAAACCAGTTCACAAGCAGTAAAAATGTATTCAATAACCTTTCCACTTTACATGTTATAATTAATACCCTTTTGAAACCATTTTTCATCAATCACTCGGCATGTCTTCAAGTATGCAGATGGGGGGGCCATGCAAGGACCGTATTATAGGTACCCTCATTTGAGGAAACATTGTGGCTCTACACTGCTATAGCTACTTATTGTCCTGATTGTGCTGTCACAGTTATTTCTTAGCCATCTCAACCAAAAACAGTGGTTCTTTATATACTTGTATTACACAATGGTTATATCACATTTTACATTAAATGGACACATTATCACATGGCCAGATGACTTGTGTAATGTATAAACGAAAGAATGTATATATATGCATGTTTAACATTAAGAGATTTAATTTTTCATTATCACAACCCACCCCTGCAGGTTGGAGATTTGCTTTGGTGTCCTCTATTTGGGAACACAAAAGCGACCAAAATAAATCTGCTCACCAATTGCAATATTTGGGATCTTTATCTTTCTTTCTACTTCTTACTTCCTTTTATTTCCTATCGTCTTGCTTGGCAACACCTCACTTTTGGCTTGACTGTTGAGCATTCACCCAGGTGAGGAAAGCAATGGGTTCTGTCCCCAGGCCGAGACATACCAAAGTCCTTAAAAATGGTAGTTGTTATTCCCTCCTTAACGTTCAGCATTAAGGGAAATGGCAACAACTGGTTCATCCGTGTCAGTATAATGTGACCGGGCTGCATGCTGTGCTTGGTGCCCTCGGCATGGCATTTCAGTGAGATAGCACTATAAAGTCGGCATCAGATCCGCACTCTCACATGGAGGCAAGCACCCCAACATACCCTGTCTCCTGCATACACACAATCACGCATGCACTACACACATGGAGGCACGTACTTAAATGACGTTAGCTGTTAATAGGACGTTAAACCAAACCAAACCAATCCTCATCACAGCTTCACCCTTTTGTCGATCCTCACAGTTTCTCGGTGTATCAGCATTGCTGACATGTCTTGGAAGTTACAAGTTTATGCAGAGTATGGCTCATGCAAAGTACACACCAGAAGGAGCTCTGATAGATGGGGGTCTTGACCTCAACATGGAGTCAGGAATGTCTGAGTAAGTCATTTCTCACATTAACAGTGTTCACCTTTACCTCGTACAAAACATGTACTTAATGAATTAGTAGAAAATATATACAGTGATTCCTATTGGAGGAAGAGTATATATCCCCATATACTGTGTTCAATAATAGCAGAACAAGGAATCAGATATAACTTCGCATATAAATACAGTACACATTAAATCAATCCATTTCTTATCCATATGGAAACTGGAATTTTTTTGAGCTAATTTGTCCAAAAAAATATTGTTGTTTACTTGTATTTATGTTGATTGATTGTTGTTTGTTTCTTCAAAGTTTCATTGTACATTTATTGAACCTGATGGTACAATGTTATACACATCATCTTTCTGTTACAGACATGCCAAAGATCTCATCCTGTTCACCTCTATAGTACAAAGTACCAGTATATTTTCTAATTATTTATGGCTGTTATGGCTGCTGGTAAGTAAACTCCATTTAAAGATGTTGGTACATATATTTTTCTGAATGAAATTCAAAGATGTAATTCTTTTTGAAACATAACATAGAAAACATTGAAAATGAATAGTGGTACTAAACGTAATACACATTGATACTACATGTTATCCTTAAAAGATGATTTGGTTACACTGTGTACGCATCAGCCCCATGATGAATAGTATTTAAAGCCCTCAATAAGGCATTGGTTTTGAGATATGTAAATTAATTACATATTCAACTTAAAACTTAGTTCTTAAAAGGATATACCAAAATAATCCTGGACTCATGTGATTAAAAAATAATATGTCATTTCACGGTATTCAGTATTTTGTCAAAGATCTTGACATGGTTTAAACGTTGTAAATAATGTAAAGAACCATGATGTTTACCACATAACTATTCCAGCTCATTAATGACAATACAACATGTAACGAATTGACATGTTTTATAAAGTTCACACATTATTCTAGGTCACTCGTACCATGCTGTCTTGCTTGTGCTACCCACTGTGCCACCTGCTCATGCAAATATGACCAGTTATGACACTCTTGTACATTTATTATGTTAAATATATCTGCTTTTGAAAGTAAATAGGGCTAAAAAGTTGGCATAAATTTGAGTGTTCGTCGAGCCTCGTGCCAAATTTAAGCAAACTTTTAACTACAAATGATGAGTCGCTATTCTTGCAGGCTATCTACATTGTAGTAACAAGCTAACAAAATAAATCTGTGTGTAATGTAGTAGTCTTATACCATGGTCCTTGTCTCTGTGTATAATGTAGTAGTCCTATACCATGGTCCATGTCTCTGTGTAAAATGTAGTAGTCCTATACCATGGTCCATGTCTCTGTGTATAATATATAGTAGTCCTATACCATGGTCCTTGTCTCTGTGTACAATGTAGTAGTCCTTTACCATGGTCCATGTCTCTGTGTATAATGTGTAGTCCTATACCATGATCCATGTCTCTGTGTATAATGTAGTAGACCTATACCATGGTCCATGTCTCTGTGTATAATGTATGGTAGTCCTATACCATGGTCCATGTCTCTGTGTAAAATGTAGTAGTCCTATCCCATGGTCCATGTCTCTGTGTATAATGTATAGTAGTCCTATACCATGGTCCATGTCTCTGTGTATAATATATAGTAGTCCTATACCATGGTCCTTGTCTCTGTGTATAAGGTAGTAGTCCTATACCATGGTCCATGTCTCTGTGCATAATGTATAGTAGTCCTATACCATGGTCCATGTCTCTGTGCAAAATGTAGTAGTCCTATACCATGGTCCATGTCTCTCTGTATAATGTAGTAGTCCTATGCCATGGTCCATGTCTCTGTGTAAAATGTAGTAGTCCTATCCCATGGTCCATGTCTCTCTGTATAATGTAGTAGTCCTATACTATGGTCCATGTCTCTGTGTAAAATGTAGTAGTCCTATACCATGGTCCATGTCTCTCTGTATAATGTAGTAGTCCTATCCCATGGACCATGTCTCTGTGTAAAATGTAGTAGTCCTATACCATGGTCCTTGTCTCTGTGTATAAGGTAGTAGTCCTATACCATGGTCCATGTCTCTGTGTCTAATGTAGTAGTCCTATACCATGATCCATGTCTCTGTGTATAATGTAGTAGACCTATACCATGGTCCATGTCTCTGTGTATAATGTATGGTAGTCCTATACCATGGTCCATGTCTCTGTGTATAATATATAGTAGTCCTATACCATGGTCCTTGTCTCTGTGTATAAGGTAGTAGTCCTATACCATGGTCCATGTCTCTGTGTCTAATGTAGTAGTCCTATACCATGATCCATGTCTCTGTGTATAATGTAGTAGACCTATACCATGGTCCATGTCTCTGTGTATAATGTAGAAGTCCTATACCATGGTCCATGTCTCTGTGTATAATATATAGTAGTCCTATACCATGGTCCTTGTCTCTGTGTATAAGGTAGTAGTCCTATACCATGGTCCATGTCTCTGTGCATAATGTATAGTAGTCCTATACCATGGTCCATGTCTCTGTGTAAAATGTAGTAGTCCTATACCATGGTCCATGTCTCTGGGGATAATGTAGTAGTCCTTTACCATGGTCCATGTCTCTGTGTATAATGTAGTTGTCCTATACCATGGTCCATGTCTCTGTGTATAATATATAGTAGTCCTATACCATGGTCCTTGTCTCTGTGTACAATGTAGTAGTCCTTTACCATGGTCCATGTCTCTGTGTATAATGTGTAGTCCTATACCATGATCCATGTCTCTGTGTATAATGTAGTAGACCTATACCATGGTCCATGTCTCTGTGTATAATGTATAGTAGTCCTATCCCATGGTCCATGTCTCTGTGTATAATGTAGTAGTCCTATACCATGATCCATGTCTCTGTGTATAATGTAATAGTCCTATATCATGGTCCATGTCTCTGTGTATAATGTAGTAGTCCTATACCATGGTCCATGTCTCTCTGTATAATGTAGTAGTCCTATACCATGGTCCATGTCTCTTTGTATAATGTAGTAGTCCTATACCATGATCCATGTCTCTGTGTATAATGTAATAGTCCTATTCCATGGTCCATGTCTCTGTGTATAATGTAGTAGACCTATACCATGGTCCATGTCTCTGTGTATAATGTAATAGTCCTATATCATGGTCCATGTCTCTGTGTATAATGTAGTTGTCCTATAACATGGTCCTTGTATCTGTGTATAATGTAAAGTAGTCCTATACCATGGTCCATGTCTCTGTGTATAATGTAGTAGTCCTATACCATGATCCTTGTCTCTGTGTATAATGTATAGTAGTCCTATACCATGGTCTATGTCTCTGTGTATAATGTAGTTGTCCTATACCATGGTCCTTGTCTCTGTGTATAATGTAAAGTAGTCCTATACCATGGTCCATGTCTCTGTGTATAATGTAGTAGTCCTATACCATGGTCCTTGTCTCCTCGGGTTCCTGGCAGGGCCTTTACATTGTAGTAACAAGCTTAAGCTAACAACATAAATCTGTGTATAATGTAGTGTCCTATACCATGGTCCTTGTCTCTGTGTATAATGTAGTAGTCCTTTACCATTGTCCTTGTCTCCTCAGGTTCCTGGCAGAGCCTTCTACATTGTAGTAACAAGCTTAAGCTAACAACATAAATATGTGTATAATGTAGTGTCCTATACCATGGTCCTTGTCTCTTCAGGTTCCTGGCAGAGGCTTCTACATGTTATGGGTGAATATATTGGCACCTTGGTTTTTTGCCCCTCCACCTGAAGTCGATGAAAAGAAGACTAAGAAACAGGAGAGAAAGATGCGAAGACATTAATAACATTATGTTGATATTCTTTAATTGTTATTGTTTATATTGACAAATGAATTTTTGTATACTTAAAAAAAAGTGTCACACCGTTTCTGTGTATTTTGAATATAAATACAACACTTTAATTTCTAATAGAAATGCTATTATGTAGAGAACTGTTTTGGTTTTCCGTCAGACAATCTGTCCGTTATAGGTACGTTGTTGTTTAATGTCTGTTTTAGTACCATCTCTTTTACAGCCAATATCACACACATATCTTAATGAACAGTTTCGTTTTCTTAATCACTCTTGTATTGGTTTAAGAGATCTTAAAGGGAAAACGAAAGCCAGTTTAACAAACAAATTTCTTTGACGATAAATCGAAATGCACAAAATCAAGTCTACAACGCAGCAGTATAAAATTAGTCATGTTCACTTAAACAGACAAATGCCGCTATCTTAACAATCCAATAGTGTAACGGGAATGGAAAAGGGTGATGTCATCATGTAAATAAAAGTATGGTATAAAGATATTTAAATAAGATTAATAATGTAACGCCCTGTAATTGCCCATATTTTACTGTTTAGTGCGAATTCGAGTTAGCCTTTTGATAGGAACCTACATGTATGAATACTGACCAAAAAACCTCGGGATTGAATTCTGATATTGTCCTATATTTGTTTGTTTTACCTATCACAAGAGAGCGGTGAGAACGTTGGTGTGCCCTATTGTTTAAAGTGGGTTTGTTAACATAAACGTCATTCTGAGTCACATTTTATTCATGTATGTAGTGACACATTTTTGAAAATATTGCATGCAAAAGATTTGTGTAAACCTATGGTTGTGGTTAGGCTTATCAGGAACACAGCGAAGATATACGTTCATTGTAAGGGTAAAACGCAACGTAAATGTAAACGGGTAATGGTTAACGGAGCATAGAAGTGAATATATAAACTACTGTAAATGAAGTAGTTGTGTTAAAACAATTGAATAGTTGCAAACGTAAATTACAGTTCTTGTGTAACTGTTAATTTGTAGTTAAGCACACGAAATTTAAACTCTTGTGCGACTGTTAATTAAACTGACGCAGTTTGTTTTAAATGTAATAATTTATTTTGTACAGTTTCACATTGAAAAATTTAGGAAGTAAGCGAGAAAAAAACAATGAGACAGATGATAAACAACTAAACAGGACATACGAGTAATTATATGAGGTACATTTTCAGACATCCAAACCAATACGCAATATAATATTTCGTGCACTGTTATGTTCGATTCCCTACACTGTGTGATCATGTCCATTTACAAAAGTTCACAACGTATAGATGTACACAAGCTTTATATATACAATAGACGAATATGAATAAAACGTATGTTCTGTACTATGAATCATCAGTTGTTGCTGCCTTTCGCAATTACAAATTATTTATTCAGTTGGTAGTAAATTTGATGGTATGCGGTGGATCTAGAGGGGTGTTCTGGTTTCCGCATGATAATGTTGTTCTCTAAATTCTCATTTGCTCAATTTGTCTGAATCCACCACTGATACATTCGAAATTTCGTTGTATTCGATGTTTTTTCTTGAACCAAGAGTTAGTGAAAGTAATTACACCGTGAACGTTCGTGCTGTTAGCAGTGAATGTTGGAGAATGTCTGCCAGATTTTGTGAAACTGTTTTTGATCTCTATTAAACATAACTAACCATGGTATTTGTTAGTCTTTTATTGTGGTAAATGTCTCCCTACACTATCGATAATGCATACACATTTAACAAAGAAATATCGTTGTAGTGCATGTGCTATGTGCATATTTATTCACATATATATATATGTAATTTTATTTTACAAAAATTATCACTCTTGTTGGCCCGTATGGTAGCACACAGAAGATACGAAAAACCGGAGTTCCCGGCGAAAACCCACGTTTTTGGGCAGGTGACCCCGTACTTGTTTTACGTCCGATCTTTGTGGAAGGGGAGTGCGCTATCCTCCCCTGTAATCCCCTTACGACCACACACACATATATATATATATATAAACAGTCCATTTGCGCTATACAAATATATAAAAAGCGGAACTAAGGATATCTATTCAATAGTAGAACATACAAACAGTACGTACACGAATATCAATACAATTTCAAGATTATCAGTATTTCGGAAAAAACCTCTAGCAATATCGTCCCGCATCATGTAGATCCTGTACATGTCGTTATACACTGTACCTATCCTCGCCATATACGGATGACCACGGTTAGGATGCCGGGTCTGTATCTCATGTGTTGGAAGTTGAAGAAAGATCCTACTAAATTTCACCCTTCCAAAATACAACTTGGTAATAATTTTGATATGCCGATTGCGACCAGACTGATGAGGAGTGTGGTTGATGACGTCATCATTACGCCCGTCCCGTTACACTGTTCCTCGTCGGATTGGTCCCCACAACTGTCGTCACCGTCACAGCACAGTCTCTGGTCCACACAGCGGTTGTTACCGCACTGGAACATGTCGGTCGTGCATGCATGTTCTGTGAGAAGGAGAGCAGACCAACAGTGGGCAACTTAATTTCAAGCTTGTAAAAAAAGATTTTTTTCAAACAGTTTCAATATTGAAGATTTTCCTGTCTTATTATTTGTTGTTGACAAAGTAGAATATGTTGTGTGGTTTGCTTAATTGAAGCCTTAGATCAAGTAAGAAATATGAATATACACGTAAAATCAGTTTACTCTAAAGAAATAATACACTTAATATTATATCTGAGTTAATACATTATGCGCAATGCAGTTTGATTGATTTTCATTATTGTATATAGATATAGGTTTATACTTACTTTCTGAGAAAGAAGTGACTAGTATATCCACTGCGCCCGGAACTCTAGTATATGTAGTGAGCATGAGCGTCACCGCCTCGTCGTGTGATGTGTACGGGATGGTGTTGTTGAGGGAGCCACACAAACCATTCCCTGTCCCTTACCAAGTAAGATAAAGTCACTTCAAATAACTCGTACTGATTAGTATAACGGTACATTAATTGTTGATTAGGGGAATTGAGATCTAAATATGATAAAAACAACATTGGTTAATTTGTGACTGAGGCAACCTCGATATTTCACGGGTTAACAAAAATGGAGGTATACTGCTACATGTACTGTACCTATCTGATTGGTTTAAAGTAAAAAACAAACCTGACCAATCGCTAGGCTTATAGAGGAGCGAAACACGACTTCAAAGGCAGTCAATTTTACCGTTACGCTACTACCCTTGAATATCGAGGATGACTTTGGGGCTTTAAATAATTCATGTATGACTTATGTAACGAATTATAAATCTCCACTTGCTTGAATTATATGACGTATCAATGCACTATTTAGTACCATGCAGTTGTTGTGTTGGGTTGGTATCGAGACTGTCAAAGGCCTGAAGTATGGCGCCGTTACAAGGAAGGTCGACGTGTCTGACCAGTACCATCAGACGAGCGTGAGCCGTATTTGACATAAGGAACAGAGGACAACGTGGCATGGAGTTCAGCACATTCCCACGGCTGGCGCGCAACCTTAGGGAGGGATCAACGAAGAAATGCTCGTCACAGTGATCTTCCATATTAACTGTAAGTAGAATGCATGTGAGTAAGCGTCTGACCACTAATCTCTATCAATGATCGAACATGAACAACAAACCGTTTTCACAGAGACCAATTAAATTGTATAAGGAGAACCAGACCAGGTGTTCCTAAAAAGTAAGCGTCTTCTGCTTCATCCATATTAACCCTTATGTAAAACTAGGACAGTACCAACACATGTCAAATTCAGGAAAAGATAATCTGGGAAGTGATGAAAACTGATAAATATAACCAGAAACATCCATTTTCAATAAACTGCGTTATGTAAACACCACAGGGGAAAATATCACAATGAGAAAGGGAAAAGTCAACGATTGGAAAATTGAAATCTTCACTCTTTTTCTTAAACTTTGTAGTAAGCCGTTCCTTTTGATCATGTTGCAAGAGGTAAACGGTTGATTCAGAAAAGTCTATAGCATTCCTCTTTTTTAAGTGAAGTGAAGTATGTACGATTTATTAAAAAAAAACAATGCATTGCAGACAGATATATCTAAACAAGAAAACGTCTTCTGGTCGAAAAACGAAATTCCGTCACGTGTATTCTTTCGACACGCGAAAGAATACATTCCATTGCGACAAATGGACTTTGTATATCTACAGGGTGACTACGTATATTACAGAGTAACATTTAAAACTAACGTCGACATTTACAAAGGTATGTTTCAGTGCTCTTGTCTAGCTAAGTTTTTTGATAACATACAAGATAACGTGCTGTCTGAAAACAACAGGTCAGTGTATCTACGCACTTTGTGGTCCGTCACGTTTAGTTAAGTACACTGTAGCAAACATCATACTTCATTTCACATAAATGTCTGCGATAACATAACCAATATAAATGATAAAATTGCAAAGGATTGAAATTGACATTATATTTCGTTTGTATTTTAACAATGAATTATGCCATAGAACAATACGTGTGTCATCGATGAAGCCGAAGATGCACATCCTTCTGGAACACCATGTCTTATCCTTCTTGAACACCATGTCTTATCCTTATTGTACGATGGACTTTTTCTCTTGCTGATACATGTAGTTTTACATGATTTAATTGAATTTAAGTTCTAATGACGGTTTGTATACTCTTCAGTGTTCTTTTCTTTAACCTTCCGTTTAACAAAGTTGATAAAGCCATATTCCTACATTATTACACTTACCCAGCGGAACCGTGTCACGGAAGCCTTGGACACTGATAAATACACAAAACATCAAACAAATGATGTGACATTTCTCCATCGTTGATAAGTCTGGGATCCAGCAGCAATAGGGCCCAGTACAAATTATTTCATCTGATGTGAACACTTTACATTGTTCTCAGCCGAGCGTGTTTTTAGGTGGCACAGTCCTATTCTTTGCACTAATGCATGGCGTTAGGCAGATAACTATGCTCGTATTATCGTTAAGTGGTAGCCTAGATACTACCAATATCTCGTCCGATACTTGTTATATTGGTATAGATCGTAATTATGTTGACCGAGATAACTTCTTTTTTTTTAAAACCAAGATAAACCTATATCTATTGGTTTGTAAGTTATCTGTGTTGATAATGTCTATCTAAGAAAAAATCATCAAAGTCGAGTGTGTTTTATTTTCTCTCGTAATAACATATCTATGCTGGTGGTTAAAAGTAGTCTCATTAGATTTAGAAGTCTTTAACGCTGATTGGTAAAAATGTGATACTTGTAAGACGTCAAATTGACAATATCATCGTGTCATTTTTCATGTTAACACTAAAATGCTATACGTATTTTGTACTTCAGCTATACATTTTGATACCTGTGACGATAATTAAAGAAAACCCGACCTGATGTCCACGTCTAGGTGTTGACGGTACTTTACCACACCTTTCAACGCTAATACATTCTTCGTACCCATATTTACTAGAGAGAATTACGTAACAAATCTATAACTGAACCAATCCTATTCTTTTACTAGCTTACTAGCGTCCGAGAGGTTCTTTGATTTTAGTCAATTGTCAAACTCCTATGTTATGTCCGTTCATTTAACAATGTCAGGATTAGTCTGGCATGGTCTATCATCGCAAGCAAATGGTTCAAATGGTATTTATAAATAATGACATGCTTCCAATCAACTTACACATTTATTTAGAATGGGAGTACTGAGATACAAGTCACGACACAGACGGGCATACAAAATAGCCCGAACAAATTGTTTACCCTACCCCTTGAGCTACTTATAAAGTATTTGGTAGATTTTAACCGTCAGTCAATATATGACATTATCTGTCCATTGACCTGACTTGTTCTTAAACTAATATCACCAGTAGAATTATGATGTAATGAGTCCAGAAATGATGCTTTGGTGTTTGTAAAACTAAAATTGAAAATAAACTACAGAACCAAATGTTAATTCGAAAGCGCTAAATCAGGCAATATATATACCAATAACACTACTTCACGCTACATGATACATGTAATGCAGATTAATGCTTCGAATAACTATAAAAAATGTCACCGATACGCCGAAATATGACTACGGTAGTGATCGGTATTTGTGCGCTAATGATCATGGTTTTCTCATCCTACAAAGAGGGTAGACTTGATTAGTCTTATGTAAGTTTCATTTGTCAGTAAATATTACTGCACACAGTATGATTATTTTTTACAGTGTATACAAATAACCTCGATATTGCCTTAAGTAGGTGTTATTTGTCAGAACTCAATACACATTATACATACCACACATCTTAATAATAGCCCCTCTTTTATATGCGGTACAACCGTTCGAAGATCGTGATCACTTCGTTTTGCACTGTCCTCTTTATACTAACCAAAGACAAATGTTACTGAACTCTCTGTCAGCGATGAATGATGCTATTCCACTTAATACCCAAACTTTTATTTATGGTCTTCAATCACAGGACGGAAATATGAATAGAAATATTGTGTTGACGGTTCAGAATTACATTAAAACACGAGACTTTTTTATTATATTCTGAAATAGTTTTATGAAATTATCTCTCTTACAACAATTACGATAATTGAAATATGTATTGTCCAATTAAATTCAAAGAACAAATACTCTCTTATTTTGATAATTAAAGAAACTTATGTATATATTGTTATTTGTTGACAGGAGAGGGTTTATGCCCTTTTCCTTTGTACATAAGATCAATTCAATAAAATATTATGAAATTAAATGAAATATCACAGATAATCTTCGGACAGTTGTTTCATTTGCTCACTCAACTCATTTGCACTGTAATAATCCGCTTGTAACCGAATGTTATGAACCATTTAAGTTTAGGCATATTGTATTGCTTCCAAATTCAAGCAAGAGGATTGGGCACAAGTTATGACAACTTATAAAAGGCCTCTCCTCAACAATTGTACTACAACAATGTGATAGCGACAATAGACATACGTGTACATTTGTGTACAATAAAACGAATTTTGAAATCAGAAAAAGGAAAGAAGAAACAGGTTGAAAGTGCAGGGAAACCACAAGAATTTCATATAATATTCCTCATCATATTTATTTATTTAATTTATTCAACATTCATGAGGTCATAACAACATTGGCTTTTTGGACATATTCGATGAATCGCGTTAGCGATTCTTGGTAAATATGTCCAGAAAGCCAATGTTGTTATGACCTCATGAATGTTGATAAAATAAATTTCATTCCTTATATTTACATGTTTAAGTGCCTTGAATTTTCCGATGCAAGCACAAACAACAATAAACCGGCATTGTAATAATATTTGTCCATGGGGGCAACGCAGTAGAGAGAACAGCGTGTTTTTGCAGGGAAAATGTAAAACTTCCGGTGGGGGGCCTACCAACAGCATGACAACAAAACAAATATAGTTCTATTTTCAAATTTAATTTGTAGAACTAGCACATGTCGGATATAATTATCATGTACCTTACACAACTCATTTGAGAATTAAAATGAAGCCTATCATGTTTAATGTTAATCATATTAGCATAACCTAAGTACAGCTCACGGTGGACGTGTAACAATTACGCCCTGTGCTACGTCATTAAAGTGTATCAATACGCAGTGATGAGATCACCTGTGTTATGCAAAAAACAATGTCATTTTCGCCAATGGGTCCAATAATACAAAATGTAAATGTAACAATATAGTGTATAGAAATGTATGATATGTCTGCCTGGCACATACTAGCTACACACTCCGGCCACTTCCTCTGTTCAAATTGTCCATGTAAATGCTCATTTCTAATAACCTTGCTCTGTTGTACATTCAAGCTCATTCTATGTATCGTTTCATTGTACCTGGCAGAAACGAATTACACATTTATTTTTATAGTTCATATTACAAAAATCGCTTATGTCATGGTGGTTCAGGTCATATAGAAAGACAAGAGATTACCGGTTCTTCAAGACTATATTTAAAATCTATTACTTCATTGCTTTATTTATTACTTAAATCTAAATTTGAACAATTTCAAAAAATAGCTTGGGTTTCATCTAATGTTAGATCAACATTTCCATTCAAAAAGCGTATCTAAATGTAACGGATGATACCGATGCAACTTAATCAACATATCATTTCTTATGTTACTATAAAGAGGACATTCCATCAAAACATGGTACGAGTTTTAACAGGGGTAACTACAGGCACACGATGGGGAATCAATTAAATTTACACGATGAAGATCATTGTTTAGTGCACTGCAATTGTTTCTAAATTTAGTAAGTGGAAAATAAGATGACGATGTCCATGATTAGAATAGAGTGGAGGTATCTTGTCATCTTATGTAAAGAGTTTTTACACGTATTCAGAGTTGGCTGGTTCCTGATAGTTTCCGAGAGGCTATTCCAGAATCTGGTAGTTGTTGGTATTAAAGATAATCTAGTACTTTTAAGACTATGATTAGGAACAAAGAGTAGGGGTTTCTTTCTCCAACTAACCCAGGTAGTAATGCGTACAGGTATGATGGTGTCAGTTTGTTATGCATTTTGTAAAATAACTTAAGTTTTCTCCTTTCTCTTCTACTTAATAAAGTGTCCCATTTAGTTTTAAAATATAAAGATTTGTAGCATACCTAGGCAATCCTGTAACAACTCGAGCTGCTTCTAGTAAATCGATATGAAATTTAAAAACAAGCGCTTCAAAGTTCACAGGCATATTCCAATGTTGGAAGTATAAAACATAGATAAATTATACTAAGTACTTTCCTATTTATCAAATTCTTAATTTCCCAAAGCATTTACCTTTTTCAACGCTGACTGATATACATTTTCAATATGGTCACCCCACTTAGCATTAGAGCTTAGAGTCACACCCAAATGCCTATGGTTTTCTAAGAATTGCAGAACTGTCTCGTTAAAAAACAGTTCAAAGTCAAAACCATGTGTTATATTAGAGATAAATAACACTTTGATTTTGTTAGGATTAAATGTAACTAGCCATTGTTGTGACCAGTCGTCTAAGCATTTCAGGTCATGATTAATTACAATTTCAATTTCTATGGATGTGTCGTCTGCAAACAGTATAACTGCAACTTACTAATTTATCAGCTATATCATTAATAAAGATAAAAAAAAAAACAGGGGCCCTAGTACTGAACCTTAAGGCACACCTGCCCCCAAAACCTGATAATCAGAGTAAGTTCTGCTATGTATATAATTTTCCAGTCATTTAAAAAATTTACCTGAAACACCATATGCTTTTATTTTTGCTATTAGAGCTCTGTGCCAAACTCTGCCATAGGCCTTTGAGATGTCACAAAAGACAACATATATGAAGTATGTCTATCAACTTTAAAATTGTTCTATATATAGCGATACACGGCTGTAATTAACAGTAGGCTAAGAACCACCAAGGATGGATGTGAAGACGGAGCACCACCAGCGGGACAGTGAGCTTCGTCACTACCGTCACCACAGTTGTCGTAGCCGTCACAATGGAGGTTCCGGGCGATACACCACGTATTAGAGCACTGGTACTCACGTGTAGAACATGGACCATCTACAAGGATAGTGACATGGTTATACTTGTAAACAAAAACCTATAATGTAGCAAAATTAATTAAAAAAATCAAATACCTTTTAACATAATTAAATAAGTAACTTCAGGCTGACATATATTAGCAAAAAGCTTATATGGACGTCAATTTTGCATTTTATTAACTAGTGTTAGTTAGCAATTAGTTTAATGAGCGAAATTTAACATTTTCGGTAGCATAGTTAAATAATCTCTCCATGTTTGGGGTTTCCTTTTTAAAAGTAATATCTTGGGAAATGTCATAAAGTCGCATATTTCACAGAAGCGTCCTAATTGCATTTTTATTTGAAATAAAATCTTAAAAGAAAAGATACATGTAACAAAAACAAGGCTGATGGAAAACGTAAACACGATGAGTTTGAAATTTGGGTATCCTGTCGGTTTAGTATTTGTTCCGAAACGAACGCGCCTTGCCAGTTGACATTTCGGGTACCCGTTGAGCTCAAATCGAACAGGCCTTTTTGACATTATTTTCTTAAACATCAATCTTCTGATGTGATCGTTTTTGCTCGTTTTGAAATACCTTTTAATTATGCACAAACTACGGCTGATTTTCAAATTTGCAAGATTTATATTGAAGGATTGGCAACATATTGAAAAATTCATTTATTTTTTCTAAAGATCTATACATAACTTACCTTTAAAATATGACGTCACCAGTACGTCATATCCAGCATAGAAGTTCCAGTTAAGTGTAGTAAGTTGGAGTGTAAATCCGTGGAGTGTGGAATTGAATACGGTCATGGGAAGTTTGGACTTTTTACCACAATACCCACTAGCTTAATGAAGAGGTAAATAATAAGGTCCATAGTTTATAAATGTATACAACATGGTTAGTGTATAGCGATTACTTTGATATAAGTTAGTTGCACGCGGGTCTAATCGATCTATAAGGAATACATTAAACGATATATTGGGCAATAAAATCAATAAGACGATGAAAGATGAGACAGACGTACCTACTGCGTACTGTGGTACAATTCCCTTGCCGTCGTAAAGTGTTAGGAAACCTGTGGCGCATGACATGTTGAAGGAACGTATGTGGACGAGCTCGTTTGTCTCCTTACTGTTGGAGATAAGGAAGATGTTACAGGACATCCGTGCCGTCAGATAGCCGCCTCTGGAGGACACGATCCTCACCGAATCGTCCACGATAAACGTCTTACCACAGTTGTCGTCCATATACACTAATAATAAAAAGGGTTGAGAGACATATATTACACACACACATGATTTGGTTTTTTTTTGGTGTTTTACGTCCTATCAACGGCTATGGTCATTTAAGGACGTGCCAGGTTTTGGTGGTGGTGGAAAGCCGGAGTTCCCGGAGGAAAACCACAGATCTACAGCCAGTACATGCCGACTGCCCCACGCTGGCCTCGAACCCGTGACCGAGTGATAGAGGGCTTGTGGTAGCACCGCGTTGTACAGGAACACCTACCATCAGTAGCTATAAATTGATTACCTTCTATGAAATGATGCGTAGCTTACTAAGGAATACTTTCCCATCTTCTGATATATAAGGATTCTACTTGCCCATTCTTAGAAGCAACATTGTAATATTCTTAATAAAAAAAAGTGTAAATTGAAGTTGCATACCGGAATATATTATATATCGAAGATAATGTACAAACATTATTTCACTTTGTGCTCTATCAATCGTTTGTAACAAAAACCGCATTCAGTCTGCGTAATCCATTCCTATTTACACCTTTTTATCCATCACTTGTGGTGTTATTTTACGTTATTTATCTATTTGTTTACATCCGTATCTCGTTTTGGTCATTACGCATTGTTGAAACTGAACAAAATAGAGGTTGCTTCCCTTACACCGATCTTTGCAGTCGTTCATACCTGTGGTCATGGCGCTCACGCCAATTGTTAGGTAACACAACAAGGACAGTTGAATAAACCACTCCATGCCCGGCTGATTTTTTCCAAACTTGCACCAAAAATGTGTCCTGTGCGTCGCTGGTTTTGTCACCTGCTACACGTTATTGATACCCGGTAGAAGATGTCTACATGACCCCAAACAATAGATAGATAACAGGTGTAACGTTGATTACAGGATTAAAGGATGTCTATATCAACACAAAGGTATATGTACGACAGGTCAAGAGCTATTTGACGTCACCATAAAAGAAATGTATGATTGTGTTGCCGTATGATAATCAGAACTACAACCCGAGTTGCTTGAGCAAGAACCTGAGTGGGATGGGGACGGAAGTGGTGGTTCGGTGGAATATGGAGCTGGGAGCTCTGGTTTTGGTTTCCTGTTGATGTTGACCTAATATGATGGAGACGGAAGGGAAGGTTGTGTAGGATGATGAGTTGGAAGTACTCGTTTGACTTTCTCGGATTTTGACCTTTTGTGATAGGGAGTGAAGGGAAGGTTGTGTAGGATGATGCGATGTAAGGCCTCGTTTTGACTTTCTCGGATTTTGACCTTCTGTGAGGGGGAGTGAATGGAAGGTTGTGTAGGATTATGAGATGGAAGGCCTCGTTTTGACTTTCTCGGACTTTGACCTTCTTTGAGGGGGAGTGAATGGAAGGTTGTGTAGGATGATGCGATGTAAGGCCTCGTTTTGACTTTCTCGGACTTTGACCTTCTTTGAGGGGGAGTGAATGGAAGGTTGTGTAGGATTATGAGATGGAAGGCCTAGTTTTGACCTTCTCGGATTTTGACCTTATCTGATGGGTAGTGAAAGGAGGGTTGTGTAGGATTATGAGATGTAAGGTCTCGTTTTGGCTTTCTCTTATTTTGACCTTCTGTGAAGGGGAGTGAATGGAAGGTTGTGTAGGATTATGAGATGGAAGGCCTAGTTTTGACTTTCTCGGATTTTGACCTTATGTGATGGGTAGTGAAGGGAAGGTTGTGTGGGATGATGAAATGGAAGGCCTCGTTTGAATTTCTCTGATTTGACCTTATGTGATGGGTGTAGTGAAGGGAAGATTGTGTGCGATAATCAGATGTAAGGTCTCGTTTTGACTTTCTCTGATTTTGACCTTATGTGATGGGGAGTGAAGGCGTGGTTGGGTGGGTTGATCGGCTCTGAGGCCCGGTTTCTATTTCCTCTGATGTTGACCTTCTGTGATAGGGAGTGAAGGCGTGGTTGGGTGGGATGACCGGCTCTGAGGCCCGGTTTCTATTTCCTCTGATGTTGACCTTCTGTGATAGGGATGGAGGTGGGGTAGTCGATTGGGATGATGGGCTAGGAGACTTTGTTTCTCTATCCTCTTATTTTGACCTTCTGTGATGGGGAGTGAAGGAAAGGTTTTGTAGGATGCTGATAAAGAAGGCTTCATTTTGCCTTTGTTCTGAGATTGACCTTGTATGTTTGCGAGTGAAGGAGTGGTTGGGTAGGATGCTCGGCTGGGTGGTTTGGTTTCTATTTCCTCTGATCCTGGCCTTCTGTGGTTCGAATGTCAGTGGGTTGGTCGGGTAGGATGGTGGACAAAGAGACTTGGTTTCGATTTCCTCTTAATTTGACCTCCTGTGAATGACGAAAGGAGCGTTCGGGTAACAAGATGAGTTGGGAAGCTCATCTTGGGATTGGGTGTCCGATATTATCATATCTGAAATTTACCTTCTGTGATGGACGGAAGGGATAGTTGGGCAGGATGATGAGCTAGGAGGCCTGGATTTGATTTCCAACTGATTTTAACTTCATGTGGTAGGGATGGAAGGGGTACTTTAACAGTATGTTAATACTGTTAGTCCCTGTGTTACATAGTTGTTTTAACTTCTGTTTTGAGCAATGCTGATTAAGATATGCCATCGACGTTTGTTGTTGGTGACCACATCATGACCAATCACGTGACAACACCATCACAAGTGAAACGGAACATTCTGCTAGTTACAAGACAGATCATTGCTATTATTGCTTATTGTTTATCAAAGATGCCGTACGTATCGTTCAGTAACCTCCTGTAATAAGTTGTAATGTCCATTGAAAAGTAGTATATTTCAGTAGTAGTAATGTTTTTTGAAAAGTAGTGTATTTCAGTATTTATTATATAAGTCCTTTGATAAGATGGATATTTCATGAGTTGTTATGTCTTGTGCTAAGTGGTATACTTTTCAGTTGTGTGTAAAATAGAAAAAGAACCTGGAGTAAATGATGTTTGTCCTTTACCAGGAAATTCCAACACCTTAAACAGACTTATCCACAGAACTGCCGGTTGAGGACGACTATAGCTAGTATTTATTTCTCATTGTGTGACATAAATATCGACGTTTTACTAACGCTCAAAAGTATTCCTTGTGGTTTTATTGTCACTACCAATGTTCTCTCTAAGATAATTTAACTGGATTACTAATACACCTAGGTTTATATGGAGGGTGTCATCAATGAAACAAAAGGCCTTTTCATAATACATTGTCTTATTGTACATTTACATATCTCTTGAACTGCGTGTAAATGTATCGGTATTCAAATCAGTATTTCTATTAATCTATGTAATTAGCATATGTCCTGCCGACACATTCAGTGTTTGGTGACAGTATCCTTATGATAAACGTTATGTTGGTCTTGCGTTATCGTTATCACTGTAAGAGAGTAAAGTCTACGTACCTTACAAAGATAACAACACTGCCTGAGTTGTGTCATCTCTTTTAGCCGAGCTTAGTTGTGAACACTTAGAGATATGTATATATGTTGGAACTACATTGTTCCATGGCCAGCAGTGATCGATACTGACCACTCGCTTTGTACAGTTTAACTATACCAAATCGGGATCACTGAAGAATATCTCGATTTGGTATAATACAACTGTACAAAGAGAGTATTTACTGTCAATATATACATACCTAGCATGTACCAGTCCTCGATATTTTGAAAACAACTTTTACGGTAGTTTTTCTACTTATCTGCCGAACGGTCCTTTGATATCACTGTTGACGGAGAAAAGCCTTCCACCAGTACTAAGATAATATTGATAAAAAAACAGAGTTGGAGGTAGCTAACATGTGATGTGTGACTTTTCGTATTTCCAGTTATTTACTCATTAGGTTAAGCGAGTAACTCCTTTAACGCTGTTTACAGGCGCGTAGCTAGCCCCTTTACCATGTGAAAGCCCGACATGGGGTTGCCGAAGGCAGCTCCCCCCAAAGCGCGTAGCGCGAGCAGGGGGAGGGTACGGGAGGGTGTCTTCCTCCACCCGTAAGGGGGGTCTAGGGGGTCTCCCCCATGAAAATTCTGTTTTCTAGAACGTCTCTGGGGGGTCTCCCCCATGAACATTTTGTTTTCTAGAACGTCTCAGGAGCCATTTCCCACGTCCTGATGTCAGTTTTCTCGTTTAAATCCGCAAGAAAAAAGTCCTATTTATGGTATATATATATATACCTATTTACGTGGATCCAGTGTAATTCTGAATATTAACCGTCGGTATTGCTTTGTACACCCTCCATACATACATTGTCTGGTTTTTACCTAATCTTGATAAATGCATTTGATACTTCTGCATTAGTGAACATGCAATTGGGTTTGTCTTTCTCATAATCTGATCCGAGTTAATTGGGAAGCGAGGTTACCCCCATTGTCACCTTTACTCAGTCTCCCACACAGTTTCGTCTTCTGTTTGTGCTTTGTGACTGGTTCCTTATACTTGCTCCTGTTATTTGTTGGGCATTTCGAGAAGCGAGGTTGCCCCCACTATCATCGTCATGCCCAGCTTTGCAGTCTCCGACACCGTTTCGTCTTCTGGTTTCATAAACATTTTTTGGACATGGAAGAAAATTAAATTTTAGTTTTATATACGTCCATTATAGAAGGTAGTATTATGCGCAATCTGACAAAATAAAAAATACAAAGCACCGTGATTTTTTAGAATTCTGTTGTGTTGTAATTGGGCAGGCTCCAGAAGACAGTTTTCCTCATTTAAAAAAAACCGTCAAGAAAACCTATACTTGTCAAAATCATGTGCAAGCCCGGGCTTATTGGCTTACATGGTAGCTACGCGCCTGGTTAATGCTGTTAATTAGATTAAAGTTAGTATGTAGCCATTTGTTAAGCCTTATAACAACAAAAACGTGATACAAATACTAACATATACTAATTGTCAGCAATAGCTCGTCTTTCCTTCTATCGATCCTCTGTATGTCATGTCAGAGTGATTCAACAACACCATCGTTGAAGTTTTGAACACATGCATTTATTAAAAAAATATAGAAATAAATACGTACAGCAAATGCACCTCAATATGTCAATTATGGTACATGTAATATAAATTGAAATGTATTTAACTTTCGACTATAATAATGTCCGTTTAGCAACAAAAACATCAGCTATATAATCCATGTGCTGTAGACAATCCTCGGGCTGTGTGACATAACTTCAACGTTTTACCGCTTATGTCGTGTACAACTGCACAAATGGAACGCTGACTGTATTCGGTAGTAAACCAGTATTTATGACTCGGTATCAAATCGTTATATTAGGGGCCAAAGACTGTATAAACCACATGAGGAGCTACCGATCAAGATTGTATACAGTATCAACATAATATATAAAGAGTCAACGAATGAAGATTTTCACAGAAACATACACTTGACATGTCCATAGCTTCGACAAAACCGGGTTATTGATGTGTACAAATACGAAATACCAATACAACAATCGTTTGTCTAGTTCGGATGCTTGTCCACACCATTTTTTCACAAATACAGTCCGTATCAGGGTGTCAAGTCAACAAGTGGTATTACCATTAACCCTTTCATCCCTGTGTAATTTAGTAAACTCGACCATGCTTTGATCTGGATGAGTCCATTATGGTCCACAGTGGTGAATGGGTTAAAACTTGCTGTATGCCCGCCGACGACGGAATATCATCACAACGATAATAACGGGGAGACAAACAACGACGAACAATCCCCCTAAGACGATCGCCACGATGATGCCCGCTCCAACAACGACGGTACTGCTACACAGAAATTCGTCGCTGTTGTCACCACAGTTGTTGTAACCGTTACAATGGAGACTGCTGTCGATACAGCGCCCGTTATCACACTCCATCCCGAACGTACAAAGACCTGAGCAAATTAGAGGAAATTAATACACATTATAAGTATAGTACGTCGTTATGTATAGAGGGAAATAATACGCCTATCTAACAGTGCATATATACAGATACTTACATATTTGCTGATCCACCAATCTTTACCTGATATAATCCTCTGTCAATAGTACATATGAATTGAATTTTCGTGCTTTAACAGTGAGACGCTCAATAGTGAGCTAGGTGCTGGTTAATATAAATTGACTTATTTACATTTCCTTATACTTAAAGCAAGTATTATACGGTACCTGTGCTGTATGACGTCACGATGATGTCGTACTTGCTAGTAGTTAGTGATGATGCCGTCACCAAATTGAACACTAAGGCGTTTCGAGATGAAGTAAATGTTCTTTTTGCCAAGTTGAACTCAGAAAATCCACACATATCTAGTATTAAAAAACAAGGTGCTGAATAAAATGTACGGGAAATAAATGGATGAATACAAACCACGGATTCACGTGTTAAATATAACTATATATACTTCATACGTTGTCGCAATCCCATTAGCCGGACCCTATAAACGTGACCATTTCTTGTTGTTCGATAAATATATATTTCTCATTTTCATAATGTGTTTGGTTCACATCTAAAATTTAAAGATACATATATTCAGCATGATTATTCTTATTAGCAGAGCAGTTCAATTAGAAGCCTGACTATGATATGGCCAGAAACCTGCCATCCGCAAACTCTCAATAATAAGATTATTCAGTTTTATAATTGTTTGGTTCATCACAAAAGTAATGGACGTCGTTCAATGTCAAGTGAAAATGATGCAATTTGAACTTGAAACAAAATGATAAACAAATTATATCGGCCTCGGTTTCGGCTCGCTCAACATATATTTTTCGGTTTCCACATTATGTACGGATCATGGCATTACATGTCATATTTATATTTAAATGTTTATAGGTGATTCTGATTTTTTTCTCATAAAAGTCTTAAAGGAGTTAAATTAAATGAATGTTTGTGTGACTAGCTTATTAGAATTCGCTTGTCATTAAAACATAAATACATATGTATATACTGGTAGGCGAACTTACATAGGAGGGACACCCAACTTCAAAGTCAGTTAATTTTAATTCAATTTTGCTATGACAAATTATAGGGGTGCAGGGAGCGAAAGTGGGCGTAACCCCTGGAGTACCAAGTTCTGCATACAATAAACGTACCTTCTATTTTACGGTTCCTGTTTTCGCCATCGTACGCCGTGACCATGACGTATTTACAGTTTGAGTTCATGCTCCTGACAACAGCGACCAGCTGGTCCTCGGGCCTGGCCCGGACTATCACCGAACAGTTCAGGTTCCGGTTGAGCGTGGAGTATCTAGATGCTTTTATGCGTGCTGCTGTCTCAACGTAGGTAAGCTTGGACGATGCACAGGCCTCATCCAGGTACACTATAATCAGTATAGGTTAGAATGTGTTTGCTTGTGGAAGGTCCACGGTATGAATAAAGTGCATGGGCAATAAAAATAAAAGGAAAGTATCAGGACCTGACAAGTTTCTTAATCATTGCTTTGTCCTAAATAAAACTTTATTTTGAACTTTGATTAATAAACCTGATAATGATAGATAATCCGTCTGCATAGCTGTTGACAAAATCTGGACAGTGATAACGTACACGTATATTGTATCGGACGTTAACACGAGGGCAGCAAATACTGTGTTACTTTAGGTTTACGTATCAGGGATGCACGTAACAGAAACATTTACAATTTGAAAATCAATAGGTAATGTACATGTACAAAATGTAAGGACGTAATGTACATATAACTGTAAGGACGTAATGTACATATAACTGTAAGGACGTAATGTACATATAAATGTAAGGACGTAATGTACATATAACTGTAAGGACGTAATGTACATATAACTGTAAGGACGTAATGTACATATAACTGTAAGGACGTAATGTACATATAACTGTAAGGACGTAATGTACATATAACTGTAAGGACGTAATGTACATATAACTGTAAGGACGTAATGTACATATAACTGTAAGGACGTAATGTACATATAACTGTAAGGACGTAATGTACATATAACTGTAAGGACGTAATGTACATATAACTGTAAGGACGTAATGTACATATAACTGTAAGGACGTAATGTACATATAACTGTAAGGACGTAATGTACATATAACTGTAAGGACGTAATGTACATATAACTGTAAGGACGTAATGTACATATAACTGTAAGGACGTAATGTACATATAACTGTAAGGACGTAATGTACATATAACTGTAAGGACGTAATGTACATATAACTGTAAGGACGTAATGTACATATAACTGTAAGGACGTAATGTACATATAACTGTAAGGACGTAATGTACATATAACTGTAAGGACGTAATGTACATATAACTGTAAGGACGTAATGTACATATAACTGTAAGGACGTAATGTACATATAACTGTAAGGACGTAATGTACATATAACTGTAAGGACGTAATGTACATATAACTGTAAGGACGTAATGTACATATAACTGTAAGGACGTAATGTACATATAACTGTAAGGACGTAATGTACATATAACTGTAAGGACGTAATGTACATATAACTGTAAGGACGTAATGTACATATAACTGTAAGGACGTAATGTACATATAACTGTAAGGACGTAATGTACATATAACTGTAAGGACGTAATGTACATATAACTGTAAGGACGTAATGTACATATAAATGTAAGGACGTAATGTACATATAACTGTAAGGACGTAATGTACATATAACTGTAAGGACGTAATGTACATATAAATGTAAGGACGTAATGTACATATAACTGTAAGGACGTAATGTACATATAACTGTAAGGACGTAATGTACATATAAATGTAAGGACGTAATGTACATATAACTGTAAGGACGTAATGTACATATAACTGTAAGGACGTAATGTACATATAAATGTAAGGACGTAATGTACATATAACTGTAAGGACGTAATGTACATATAACTGTAAGGACGTAATGTACATATAAATGTAAGGACGTAATGTACATATAACTGTAAGGACGTAATGTACATATAACTGTAAGGACGTAATGTACATATAAATGTAAGGACGTAATGTACATATAACTGTAAGGACGTAATGTACATATAACTGTAAGGACGTAATGTACATATAAATGTAAGGACGTAATGTACATATAACTGTAAGGACGTAATGTACATATAACTGTAAGGACGTAATGTACATATAAATGTAAGGACGTAATGTACATATAACTGTAAGGACGTAATGTACATATAACTGTAAGGACGTAATGTACATATAAATGTAAGGACGTAATGTACATATAACTGTAAGGACGTAATGTACATATAAATGTAAGGACGTAATGTACATATAAATGTAAGGACGTAATGTACATATAACTGTAAGGACGTAATGTACATATAAATTTAAGGACGTAATGTACATATAAATGTAAGGACGTAATGTACATATAACTGTAAGGACGTAATGTACATGTACATATAACTGTAAGGACGTAATGTACATGTACATATAACTGTAAGGACGTAATGTACATATAAATGTAAAGATCAGTATGAGAATCATGAAAGTAATTTGTCTAAGTGAAAATATGTATACAAATGAACGACGGAACAAGCTAGATATCAAAATATGAATTACAGTTTTTATTGGTAGTTTTCGCCGAGTTTTAACATGGTGCCCCTTCCTATATTTGAAGTGTACAGTATGTTGTGCGACTAAATATATAACTAGTATTTGAAACAGCGAAACATGTTTAACGAATGAATACTCACATGTTTGGAGGGAGAAAACCTGTATAACAGAAATGATGAGGATGACACATTGCAGCGTTGAGATCTCCATGATAAAGGTATCAGCTATCCCCGTAACAGTAGTGTCTGTGTGTCCACACTATCTTGTTAGTATCCGTATATATGGACGGGATCTTATCAACGACACATGACCGGACTATCAACCGGGGTTATCCCAACATTCCTATATTTAGATTTATTCAACGATCACGTGCAGTCATATTTCACAATGTTGAGTAATCTACTTAAACTATAGATTTATCATAAACATATACATTATTACGGTTAGTGTTCTAAAACATTTGCAACCATTAATTGGACAGGTTGACACTACCTCAGGTTCAGACAAAGACATCTGTCGAGTGTTCAGGGCGAACCGACACTTTATCAACTACAGTAACTTGGAAATGTACACAGGCACCAGGAAACAATAATACGATAAACATACACAAACAAACAGAAGCTACTTATATACAATATGCTATTGTAATAGTATATTCCCTCGGCTAGCTTGTAACCGAAGGCTAATTATAGCTAATAATTCATCCTACAATATAATATATATATGTATATGTTTATTGGTATCGTGAGTTAAGGGCACTGGATCCGAACAAACAAATGCAGAAGTAATAACAACAGTTCAGACAAAGGACATTGTCAAATTTTCAAGGCAAGTCATCCCTTTATTAAGACAGAAACATGCATATCACAACATAAACATTCACCATAAAACAATACTACAACACAAAATACATTACAGTAAACCAACCAATTCCTTTCCCAAACAACCCGCTTTTCCCCCCAAATAATGCAATAGACATATAACAACTAGCTATGCATTACATACAAAAAACATAAAATAAATAATTATAGAAATGAATAGCAAGTATTTCACAAAGCAATGTAAGTGAGTTCACCATGGATGAATCCAGGGAAGTGCTATGGAAAAGTGAACGAGTAGTAAAAGGTTGTACAATCCGTACCGCCAAGGACAGAGATACAAGTAAAGGTTGTACAACCCGTACCGCCCAGGCCAGAAATACAAGTAAAGGTTTTACCACCCGTACCGCCCAGGACAGAAATAAAAGTAAAGGTTGTACAACCAGTACCGCCCAGGACAGAAATGCAAGTAAAGGTTGTAAAACTCGTACCGCCCAGGACAGAAATACAAGTAAAGGATGTACAACCCGTACCGCCCATGACAGAAATACAAGTAAAGGTTGTACAACTCGTACCGCCCAGGACAGAAATACAAGTGTAGTTTGTACAACCCGTATTGCCCAGGACAGAATTACAAGTAAAGGTTGTACAACCCGTACCGCCCAGGACAGAAATACAATTAAAGGTTGTACAACCCGTACCGCCCAGGACAGAAATACAAGTAAAGGTTGTACAACCCGTACCGCCCAGGACAGAAATACAAGTAAAGGTTGTACAACCCGTACCGCCCAGGACAGAAATACAAGTAAAGGTTGTACAACCCGTACCGCCCAGGACAGAAATACAAGTAAAGGTTGTACAACCCGTACCGCCCAGGACAGAAATACAAGTAAAGGTTGTACAACCCGTACCGCCCAGGACAGAAATACAAGTAAAGGTTGTACAACCCGTACCGCCCAGGACAGAAATACAAGTAAAGGTTGTACAACCCGTACCGCCCAGGACAGAAATACAAGTAAAGGTTGTACAACCCGTACCGCCCAGGACAGAAATACAAGTAAAGGTTGTACAACCCGTACCGCCCAGGACAGAAATACAAGTAAAGGTTGTACAACCCGTACCGCCCAGGACAGAAATACAAGTAAAGGTTGTACAACCCGTACCGCCCAGGACAGAAATACAAGTAAAGGTTGTACAACCCGTACCGCCCAGGACAGAAATACAAGTAAAGGTTGTACAACCCGTACCGCCCAGGACAGAAATACAAGTAAAGGTTGTACAACCCGTACCGCCCAGGACAGAAATACAAGTAAAGGTTGTACAACCCGTACCGCCCAGGACAGAAATACAAGTAAAGGTTGTACAACCCGTACCGCCCAGGACAGAAATACAAGTAAAGGTTGTACAACCCGTACCGCCCAGGACAGAAATACAAGTAAAGGTTGTACAACCCGTACCGCCCAGGACAGAAATACAAGTAAAGGTTGTACAACCCGTACCGCCCAGGACAGAAATACAAGTAAAGGTTGTACAACCCGTACCGCCCAGGACAGAAATACAAGTAAAGGTTGTACAACCCGTACCGCCCAGGACAGAAATACAAGTAAAGGTTGTACAACCCGTACCGCCCAGGACAGAAATACAAGTAAAGGTTGTACAACCCGTACCGCCCAGGACAGAAATACAAGTAAAGGTTGTACAACCCGTACCGCCCAGGACAGAAATACAAGTAAAGGTTGTACAACCCGTACCGCCCAGGACAGAAATACAAGTAAAGGTTGTACAACCCGTACCGCCCAGGACAGAAATACAAGTAAAGGTTGTACAACCCGTACCGCCCAGGACAGAAATACAAGTAAAGGTTGTACAACCCGTACCGCCCAGGACAGAAATACAAGTAAAGGTTGTACAACCCGTACCGCCCAGGACAGAAATACAAGTAAAGGTTGTACAACCCGTACCGCCCAGGACAGAAATACAAGTAAAGGTTGTACAACCCGTTCCGCCCAGGACAGAATTACAAGTAAAGGTTGTACAACCCGTACCGCCCAGGACAGAAATACAAGTAAAGGTTGTACAACTCGTACCGCCCAGGACAGAAATACAAGTAAAGGTTGTACAACCCGTACCGCCCAGGACAGAAATACAAGCATAGTTTGTACAACCCGTACCGCTAAGGACAGAAATACAAGTAAAGGTTGTACAACCCGTACCGCCCAGGACAGAAATACAAGTATAGTTTGTACAACCCGTACCGCCCAGGACAGAATTACAATTAAAGGTTGTACAACCCGTACCACCCAGGACAGAAATACAAGTAAAGGTTGTACAACCCGTACCGCCCAGGACAGAAAGACAAGTAAAGGCTGTACAACCCGTACCGCCCAGGACAGAATTACAAGTAAAGGTTGTACAACCCGTACCCCCCAGGACAGAAATACAAGTAAAGGTTATACAACCCGTACCGCCCAGGACAGAAATACAAGAAAAGGTTGTACAACCCGTACCGCCCAGGACAGAAATACAAGTAAAGGAGTCACACAATTAGATCGGATATGAGACGGCGTTCAACAATTGTTTAAAGTCAAGATTAATATGAACTTGTTTAAAATATGAGGTTCGTTGGGAAATAATTAGTTGAACAAAGTGACGAACTGATACGTGAATAAATATACAAGTTCGTCCCTTTAATAATAAGGGAAGTAACACTGCTAGTATTTAATAATAAGGGAAGTAACACTGCTAGTATTTAATAATAAGGGAAGTAACACTGCTAGTATTTAATAATAAAAAAGCAACACTGCTAGTATTTAGTAATAAGGGACGTTATATTGCTAGTATTTAATAATAAGGGAAGTAGCACTACTAATATTTAATAATAAGGGATGTAACACTGCTAGTATTTAATAATAAGGGAAGTAACACTGCTAGTATTTAATAATAAGGGATGTAAAACTGCTGGTATTTAGTAATAACGGATGTAACACTGCTAGTATTTCATAATAAGGGATGTAACACTGCTAGTATTTAATAATAAGTGATGTAACACTGCTAGTATTTAATAGTAAGAGATGTAACACTGCTAGTATTCAATAATAAGGGATGTAACACTGCTAGTATTTAATAATAAAAGAAGTAACACTGCTAGTATTTAATAATAGGGATGTAACACTGCTAGTATTTAATAATAAGGGATGTAACACTGCTAGTATTTAGTAATAAGGGATATAACACTGCTAGTAATTAGTAATAAGGGAAGTAACACTGCTAGTATTTAATAATAATAGAAGTAACACTGCTAGTATTTAATAATTAAGGGATGTAACACTGCTAGTATTTAATAATAAGGGATGTTACACTGCTAGTATTTAATAATAAGGGAAGTAACAATGCTCATATTTAGTAATAAGGGAAGTGACACTGCTTGTATTTAATAATAAGGAAAGTAACACTGCTAGTATTTAGTAATAAGGGATATAACACTGCTAGTATTTAGTAATAAGGGAAGTAACACTGCTAGTATTTAATAATAACAGAAGTAACACTGCTTGTATTTAATGATAAAGGGATGTAACACTGCTAGTATTTAATAATAACAGAAGTAACACTGCTTGTATTTAATGATAAAGGGATGTAACAGTGCTAGTATTTAATAATAAGGGATGTTACACTGCTAGTATCTAATAATAAGGGAAGTAACAATGCTAATATTTAGTAATAAGGGAAGTGACACTGCTTGTATTTAATAATAAGGAAAGTAACACTGCTAGTATTTAGTAATAAGGGATATAACACTGCTAGTATTTAGCAATAAGGGAAGTAACACTGCTAATATTTAATAATAAGGGAAGTAACACTGCTAGTATTTGATAATAAGGGAAGTAACACTGCTAGTATTAAGTAATTAGGGAGGTAACACTGCAAGTATTTAATTATAAGGGAAGTAACACTGCTAATATTTAATAATAAGGGAAGTAACAATGCTAGTATTAAGTAATTAGGGAGGAAACACTGCAAGTATTTAATTATAAGGGAAGTAACACTGCTAATATTTAATAATAAGGGAAGTAACAATGCTAATATTTAGTATTAAGGGAAGTAACACTGCTAGTATTAAGTAATTAGGGAAGTAACACTGCTAGTATTTAGTAATTAGGGAAGTAAAACTGCCAGTATTTAATAATAAGGGATGTAACACTGCAAGTATTTAATAAAAAGGGAAGTAACACTGCTAGTATTTAATAATAAGGGAAGTTATACTGCTGTATTTAGTAATTCGGGTAGTAACACTGTTAGTGTAATATGTAGTATTTAGGGAAGTAACATTGCTAGTTTTTAGTAATAAGAGAAGTAACACTGCTAGCATTTAATAATAAAGGAAGTTGTACTGCTAGTATTTAGTAATAAGGGTAGTAACACTGTTAATATGTAGTATTTAGGGAAGTAACACTGCTAGTATTTAGTAATAAGAGAAGTAACACTGCTAGCATTTAATAATAAGGGATGTAACACTGCTAGTTTTTAATAATAAGGAAAGTAGCACTGCTAGTATTTAGTAATTAGGGAAGTAACACCGCTAGTATTTAGTATTCAGGGAAGTAACACTGATAGCATTTAATAATAAGGGAAGTAACACTGCTAGTATTTAATAATAAGGGAAGTAACACTGCTAGTATTTAGAAATAAGGGAAGTAACACTGCTGGTATTTAGAAATAAGGGAAGTAACACTGCTAGTATTTAATAATATGGGAAGTAACACTGCTAGTATTTAGTAATGAGGGAAATAAAACTGCTAGTATTTAATAATAAGGGATGTAAAACTGATAGTATTTAGTAATTAGGGAAGTAAAACTGCCAGTATTTAATAATAAAGGAAGTTATACTGCTATTATTTAGTAATAAGGGTAGTAACACTGTTAATATGTAGTATTTAG